GCTCATTTACTTAATGTGTGCTAACTTACAATATTTGTTTCAGTCTTTGCAAGAACTTGTCGACTTGGCACAGAAGTATTATACTGAAGTCGCTATTCCGAAACTGGTAAACGAGTCTAAATTGTATTGTAAGTTGTCTGTTGCGGCTAATATGAATATAATAATAACACTCTTGTGTTTGGTATCTTTCGCTCGATACAGGTTGCAGATTTTGGTTCGTTGGAGCTGTCACCAGTCGATGGCCGAACTCTAACTGATTTTATGCACACAAGAGGTCTTCGGATGCGCTCTTTAGGCTATGTTGTAAGTAGCCTTGTTTTAACTTCATCAGTAGGTTCTTAGAATCCACTGAAGATGAGTGACCAATATTGATCATCCACGTCTTTTTTTTTATGGTTAAAACAGGTGAAGCTATCAGATAAGCTGTCACATGTACAATCTCTGTGTGTTCATGAGATGATAGTTAGAGCCCTTAAACACATCCTCCAGGCGGTGATTTCTGCTGTTGCTGCTGACACTGACAAAATAGCTGCAAAAGTAGCTGCTGCTTTGAACATGATGCTTGGGATTCCTAAAAATGCTGCAGCAACACCACATGACTCTTGGAAAATACATCCTCTTATCTTTCGGTGGTTGGAGAAATTCTTGAAGAAACGATATGACTATGATCTTAATGCCTTCAGTTACAAGGATCTACGAAAGTTTGCCATTCTCCGTGGATTATGCCATAAGGTTGGTATTGAGTTGATTCCTAGGAACTTTGACATGGATTCTCCAGAACCGTTCCGGAAAACAGATGTGGTCAGTCTGGTCCCAGTGCATAAGGTAATGGACAAGATAAAATATATTTTGTTAAAAGCTCTATCTAAAAATCTGTATTCTTTCTAATATGTTAGCCAACCATCGTTATTCAAACTTTATATTGTAAATCTCTGCAGCAAGCAGCATGTTCATCTGCTGATGGAAGACAACTTCTGGAGTCATCTAAAACTGCTTTAGACAAAGGAAAGCTTGAAGATGCAGTAACATATGGAACAAAGGTACATGCCCTAAAAATTTATTTTTCTACTCCTCAGCACTTACTTCATATTACTTGCTGTTTCTCTGAACAGCGTCATGATTTGGTTGTGTTGTTTCTCCCTTAGGCTCTTGCTAAACTTGTAGCAGTTTGCGGTCCCTATCACAGAATGACAGCCGGAGCTTACAGTTTACTTGCTGTAGTTCTATATCACACCGGCGACTTTAACCAGGTCTGTATATTTATACGATTACGTTGTGATACTTTTCCTCGATATGACGATGCAAAACTAACAGATTTTGGTAAAACAGGCTACAATATATCAGCAAAAGGCTTTAGATATCAATGAGAGGGAACTTGGACTTGATCATCCAGATACAATGAAGAGTTATGGTGATCTTGCTGTCTTCTATTATAGGCTTCAGCATACGGAGCTGGCTCTCAAGTAAGTTTTTACAATCGTGATTTCAAAAGAATCGTGAGGTTTATGGTTTGGATGTCTATTTCTACCATCTAAACTCGGATATTTTTGCTTTTGTTAGGTATGTTAAGCGTGCGTTGTATCTCTTGCATCTAACATGCGGTCCATCTCATCCAAACACTGCTGCTACATACATCAATGTAGCCATGATGGAGGAAGGTCTAGGAAATGTACATGTTGCCTTGAGGTATCTTCACAAAGCTCTCAAATGTAATCAGCGGCTGCTTGGTCCTGACCATATCCAGGTTCCTTTCCCGATGCCCTCTGTTTTTTTTGGAAAGTCACTTTGTAAGAAATTTGATTTGCTTTTGCTAATATTGTGCTGCTAATTATGTCAAATTTTAGACTGCTGCAAGCTACCATGCCATAGCAATTGCGCTCTCGTTGATGGAAGCTTACCATTTAAGTGTTCAGCACGAGCAAACAACCTTAAGAATCCTCCGAGCAAAGCTGGGACCAGATGATTTGCGTACTCAGGTATATATTAGCCAAACCAGATATCTACAGGAAGAATTCTTAGAAGCTGACAGTTTCATTATATACTTCAGGATGCTGCTGCTTGGCTAGAATACTTTGAGTCCAAGGCTTTTGAACAGCAGGAAGCTGCACGAAACGGTACTCCTAAGCCAGACGCATCTATAGCCAGCAAAGGCCACCTAAGGTCAAACAAATTCTTTAGCTATCTCCTTAATTATTTGTTGTTTATAAGTTTTCTATGTTGTTTGAATGTATCAGTCAAGTGTACTCCGTGGTCAGATCCTTTGCTTGATTGTGTTTTGCAGTGTGTCCGATCTTCTCGATTATATCAACCCAAACCATAGCGCAAAAAGGAAAGGGAGTGTTGTAGCAAAGAGGAAGAACTATATAATGAAGGTTTGATTTTTATTTCCTTGACATTTCTCCATTTTAATGGTTAAAAACGCTTACATGGATGGACCTGTGTTATGTGTAGCTTAAGGAAAATTCCAAGCAGAACAGTGTCTCTGAACACTTAGCAGCAGAAACTCCGAGAGAGAAACTAAAGGAAATGTCTGAGGAGGAGACAGAAGCAACTGGATCAGAAGGTGGTCAATCTAGCGACGCGAATCAGGAGACAGTGCTTGCACCCGTTGAAGAACCACCACCGTCTCATCCAGTCATTGATGAGGCTATTATGGATAACAGTAATCCAATTACATCTACTGAAGTTTCAACTGAGACACAACACCCTGATGGTAGTGAAGATGGATGGCAACCGGTGCAGAGACCGAGATCTACTGGATCATATGGTCGCAAGCTGAAGCAGCGACGAGCATCTATTGGGAAGGTATATACATATCAGAAGAAGAACGGTGAAGCTGATATCGATAACCCTCTTTTCCAGAATGCTACTCAGCAGAACACCAAATACTACGTCCTCAAGAAGCGATCAGCCTCATATGCAAACTATACAGATCAACATTCTCCCGGTTTGAGTCAAACTCAAGGCACCAAATTTGGAAGGAAGGTAGTAAAAACCTTGGCATACCGAGTTAAGCCGATGCAGCCGTCTTCTGATAACAACAAGAGCGCAGCTGAAACATCGTCAGAAGAAGATGTGTTGAAGACAGATGCTTCTTCTGTTGTGCCACCTGGTCTGTCTAGTAATGCGCAAAATGAGGCCTACCGCGCGAAAAACTCTGTAATTAGTCTTGGAAAATCTCCATCCTACAAGGAAGTAGCATTGGCACCGCCTGGTTCCATTGCCAAGTATCAAGTCTGGGCTCCGCAAGCTGAAGTTTCAGACAAGCAAGAGGAGAATGATGCGGAGAAGAAAACTGAACAGAGTACATCGACGGAGCTTACAATGGATGAGCAGATGGTTTCAGTGTCAGATGAAGAGGTACAAAATGAAATTTCTGTAGACAAAGAAGAGTTACAATCATCTGAAGTGGAAATCAAAGGGAACAGTTTGAATGAAAACGAAGAATCTGGTGGTGGGGAAGAACAAGTGACTGAAGGTGAATTGGTAAACGACGGCGTAACAGATATGATTCATTCCACCAGAGAGCAAGAAGTGGCTGATCAGTTAGCTGCTGATTCCGATGATCTCAAGGAAAAACTGGGAATATCTGGTACAGACTCAAGCGATGCCTCACGAGGATTGTTATTATTACCTAACAGGAAGCTATCTGCTTCAGCTGCTCCATTCAACCCTACATCACCTCCAAGTATCATACGTCCTACTCCAATAGGCATGAACATTGGACCGTCGTGGCCAGTGAACATGACTCTTCATCACGGACCTCCTCCTCCTTATCCTTCACCTCCTACAACTCCAAACTTGATGCAGCCAATATCATTTGTGTACCCTCCTCCTTACACTCAGTCAGTCCCCACAAGTACTTATCCGGTTACGAGCGGTCCTTTTCATCCGAATCAGTTCCCATGGCAGCTCAATGTGTCGGAGTTTGTACCAAGATCGGTTTGGCCCGGATGCCATCCCGTTGAGTTTTCCCCTCCCCCACACATGATAGGCGAGCCAATCGCTGCGACTGTGTTAGAGCCAACAGTGATTCTGCCAACTGATATCGACACATCAGAAGTAGAAGGAGAAGGAGAAGGAGGTAAGGGAGACGTGGCAAGTGCGGATGAAGTTATCGATTCTGTTAATCACGTGAGCGCAGTGGCAAGCGGGGAGATGGAGAATGGACACCGGAAAGCTGATGAGGATAGCGAGAAAACTTTCAGCATTTTGTTGAGAGGAAGGAGAAACAGGAAACAGACACTGAGGATGCCAATCAGTTTGCTAAACCGGCCATTTGATTCTCAACCCTTCAAGATTGCTTATAGCAGAGTCATCAGAGACAGCGAGGCTCCAAAGTCCGTAGCTTGAAACTCTCTCAAAGATTCAGCCATTATCAATGAAATGCAAAGCTCACACTGATCTCTCTCTGATCGTTGCTGTTGTTTAGGACAGTATAAAGGTTAGATTCTAAACTCTTTTGATTTAATCTTCGGATATATGTAAAATGCATATCTTGTAACTTGTTGATGTCTAAATTCGCCTGTAATTTCGTTATCAGTCATCAGAAGCTGAGGCTTGTGATAGTCTCGGAAAATGGAGATTCGATGATTTGGATATTAACAGGAGAGAGAGGTTGCAGAGGCAAGAAAAAAGGCCAAGCCATTCTTTTTTGGGATTTACCATGTGAGGTGATGTATTATTTTGGGTTCTTATTTTAATTCAGCCAATAAAAAATAGGAAATTTTGGACATAATTTTTTTTTACATCTCCATGTTTAAAAACTTCTGTTATTCTCCTCCCATTGTCATTTACTTAGTTACGTATTCGTTCGTCAACGATTACATCAAAATTCTAACGGTTCACTATAAAACGTCGGAATTATAACTCGTATATTGAATCAATTGTTAGGTGATATTCACTGAATAAAACCAATGCAAGTTTGTTGCACACAAAAAAAATGAAAATAAAATAACTAAAAGTGGATTATTCCGCTACCGCTCTCTCAAGCCATTCCGTTAAAACGGATTAACGACCGCCGCCGGTGGATCTTCCCGTAAAAGACCAAGCTGGACCTGGACGTCATAACTTCCAAAGGGGTTTTCACCATCGTAATTTCCCGGTGGGTTATAAACACAAATCGCATAAACGCCGCCGTTTGAGCAATCCACACTTGCGCACCCAACTTTCGTGCTATCTCTCCACACGATCTGCGTGTAATGTCCACACATTTGCCCAGGCTCGCACGAGTTAGATCGCCCGTTATAGAACTTATCCTCATCGGCCCATACTTTAACAACGTCTCTGGGCTTCCAGTTATTCTGTGCGGCCCAAAATATGTTTTCTCCGAAAGGACCGTTAGAGTGAACAAGCCTACAATCTCCCACGCGCTGTTTCGCCCACATGCGCGCGTACGCCGCTAGCCTCCCGTCCCATTCCAACGGCGGCTCTCCCACGCGCGCTCGAACGATGTTGTGTGCGAATAGAAATTCTCTGCTCGCTCTGTTTACTTTGTTACGACGCCATCTTCTCCCCCATCTGAACCCCAACGTGAGTTGTTTTTCGGTTAACAATCGAGTACTCGCCGCCGTTGATGGAGAGTTCACGGAGGGTTGTGTGGAAGTGGAATACTCGCCGTGATTAATTTGGGCCGTGATGGCCCCAAGCTGAAGGAGGAATAACGGAATGGCGACGAAGATGGACAACGGAGCTCGGGCATTCCGTTTACGGAGCTCCATTTAAAAGAAAGGAATAAAAAAGAGATATCTTTTTTTATTACGAGAGTTAATTACTCAATTGTACGTGAAAGGTGCAATTAACTCTAGATTGTAAATTGTGAGAGGAAATGAATTAATAGGTCATCGTTTCGATTTCTGAATGTATGAGTATTGAAAATCGGAATGCCGTCCAAAATAAATAAAAAATTAGACAATGACCAAACGTGATTGCTAAGGTAATTGCAAGTTCCTTCTCTCGAAATAAAAACGTAATATGCTAAGGACTATATCATAATTTTTGATATATTGGCCATAAAACTTTTAGTATATACCCAAAACTGCCTCAGATATTTGTGTATTTACTATACTTAAGAAATCAAACAAGGAAAGAAGAACCAATCAACACGGTTAAATATAAAAATCGGACCACTGTCTCTAACTTCGCACTGGATCTTCATTTTTGTCTGATTAAGAAATACCAACACGACTTTTCATGTGCCCTTTACAGTACACTTTAAACAAAATATTGGACGCACTCTCTACCTTCGTTATATTTACCGCAGTACAGCACTTGCATAGTCTTGAAATTTGTGTTTATAATCTTGATCTAACTAATTCCGTAGTTGTCATTTGTTGGTTCACTACAAATTAAATTAGAGCTTTTGGCTAATTAAAAATAATAATCATACACTCTCTTTGGTCCTGAAAAATACTATAAAGACGATAGTAATACAGCCGACAACACGTGAAGCTTTTACAACACGTATTTAACTCCAACGCTAAAAGATTCACACTTGTCCGAAAAACACAAGTCTAAGCATAAATTGCGAAATAAAGGGAAACAAAGTACAATATCCGTACCGACTCGGGTCGGGTCAGGATTAAGCGCATCCTCGTGGAGCAAACCCGACTCGGGAACCAGCTAAGTCGTATACGACCCGGAAACCCTGTTGCTGGATATTCCCAATAATGGATAGTCCACTCATCGTACCGGCAAACGCAAAACAGAATTTACCGTTAGTATCCACCGGTATCAGGTAGTTCGTCGCCGGCAGTGACACGTCAGCTCCACGAAAGTGTAAAACCACCGTCGGGACTTTAACCTCATTCATATTGGAGAGATCGAAACACGTGTCGAAGAGAGAGAAATCCGGTGCTCGTTTCAGGGTCTTGGCTCCGACCCGGAACGCGTCTCTCATAGCGATGTAAGCTGGTCGGATCAACCGGGTCACAGAAGTACCTGAATCGATTATGACTCCACCGTTACCGATCTGGTCGAGTTTGAAAAGAGAAGCCGCTACGCCGGGGACACGTGTCCCGCCAACGCTAATTCCGAGAAGCTCCACGTAGTAGAAAGTGTCGAGCTTCGGGTTTGACAAAAGCGGCGTGAATTTCGCGGTTCGTGAAACGGCGGCGTTTCCGAAGACGACGGAGGAAGGTTTCGAGGAAGCGGATCTGTCGACTAAGCAGTAAGAGAATTTCTGATTGAACCGGTGACCTGTTTGACCAGGAAACGATAGTCTTCCTTTTCCGAGACCTAACAAACCGGCGGCTCCGACGAAGAGGCCTTCGTTGTCGTGGCCGCATCCGACAGCAACACCTTTAACGCGGTTTCGACGAAAAGTTAGGGTCTCGGTGGAGAAATCGCCGACAGTGAAGGAACCATCGCCGTAAGACACTTGGTAGAGGCAAGTCCGACGGCGAGTATTGCATCCGGCGGAGTCTAATCGCCGGCAGAGAGGTGATGAACAGGGGATCGTGGAGTAGGTCCGGGACTTTCTCGGGTCGAAAATCGGATCGGATTGAGAGTAACATTTCCGACAAGGAGCGCATTGGAGCCAGACGATGTCGCTTCCTGTGTCGAGCACCATGTAAACATATTTCGCCGGAGTTCCGACACCGAGACGAGTGAAGTACTCTCCACTTCCCTGAGAGAGACCAGAGACCACCGAGCTGCTGAATGCGCCGGATCTCGGCGCGTGGGTCGCATTTCTTCTGGGGATTTGGGCGGCGAGTGTGGCGATTGATTTCACGCGCCGGGAGTCACGTTGGAGACGGAAGCTGAAGAGCTCTTGTGGTGTTCTGTTGGTGGAGAGAGCATCGATGTGGTCGAGGTTTAGAGTAACCGACGACTCTGAGTCGGATCCGGATTCAGATTCGGAGCCTAGCAACGACTCGGAATTGGGGTCGGATTCGGATTCGGGTTGAAATGAGACGGGAGAAGCAGAAGGAAGAGAATGAGAATTGGGGACCAAGGTTTGGAAAGCGGGAAGGGAAGAGAACGAAGGAAGAGAGACGAACAAGAAACAGAGTGTAAAGAGGAAAGCTTTTCTTCTTCCTACCATTTTTTCTTGCGTTTTCTCAGGAAAATGGTGGTGAGACTGAGAGTGGTCTCCGTATAAATAACTACACTAGTCTTCTTGAAGAACACACTGAGAAAAAGAAGCAAGGTGGTCTCTTTTATGGATTTTAATATACGTATAATAAATGTAATGAATTACTGTAAGACTTTTCTTTCTTTTAATAAAATATCTATCATATTATCATAAGATTGTGGAGATGCAAAAGCGACATTATAATTCGATGGATAACAAACACTATGAAATATCATGTGGTGTGGGGAGCAATATAAAATAATTAGCTTGTTTCAGGAAATAAATAACTGCGTTAATCTTTTTTTGAAAAGTGAAGAGCTTTTGTTATTGTTTTGTTTTATGGTTAATGATGCGCGATAATTCCACCACAATTGGTGCCATATTTCGCTCTTGAGTTAGCAGAAACTGAAACATTCCACATGGGTGAAAAATACAGACAAATGTTGACGAAAAATCATCTACTTGAATTAATATGTACGATGCAAGACTCGAATAATAAAATTTATTGTATATTCGTGTATGTATCAAAATAATAAAAGTTCAAGATCTTGTTAGTTGTTAGATTGTTGATATCATCAAACAGTCTTTTCATTTATTCCTCCACAAGAATTCGAATTAATGACATCTAAGATTTGGAACTTTCATATTCAGCAGCATACTATAGTACTACTTATTATATCATAAACATGAATTTAATGACGCTCTTCTTCTATAAATGAATACAAGAGAAAAAGAATTAAATAGAGTGATGTTGGGATGTGTGACCACAAATTAATTGCTGTGACCAAATCTCTCTTATCTTTGTATAAAGAATGTGAACATTATATGAATAAGTGTGAACAGTGGAAAATGACCTTTAACAGTTGAAAGCATTGACTTCTATCAAACATTTTCACTCCAATAAATTGTTCATCATAGAGTTTAGGTGAAATTCTCAGATTTCATATCAACTCCTTACCAAACTACCACACTTTATAGAGAGCTACCATTCAAGTTGCAAACCCCATGCTGTACTTGACCGGTTGGTTCATTGACCGAACCTTTTAAACAGCTGGTTTTACTGATCCGGACCAGCCATCAGCCATGGCTTTACGCGTAGTTCCTGTCTGATGATGAATTACAACATTAGTCGTAACTCAGAAGGAGAGACCTCAAGATGGAGAAAAGAATCTATTGATTAAAGGGTAAAATGTAAAAAGGGACCAGAAAGCAAAAGCCACTACAAGAAAGAAAAGAAAAAAGGAGGTCTTGTTTTAAATCTTGGCCAGCAGAGACAACACTTTCTTGGTTTCTCTGCTTTTTATTTGAGTTAAGTGCTCACTCATCATGACAAGGCCGTGACATGAACAATTTGCACACAAAAATATTCAAAATTCGACTTGATAATCAAAATAACCATTCCCTGGTGGTATATGATATACACATCATGTCATCTGATCCTTCTGCGTGTGTTGTAATAGTCTAACTATAACAAAGAACCAGCTAGTAGAACAAGGAGAAAAACAGAAAAGCCAAAATGTCTTTAAGAGAATGAAAGCAAACCAAAATGTTATTTGTTGTTCACTCTCCTCTTGACCAGTACCCGCTATTTCCACCAGATTTACGCTCAAGTCTCACGTCTGTGATACAGATATCTTTGGAAGCAGCCTTGCACATATCGTAAACAGTTAAGCCAGCAACTGAAACAGCAGTCAAAGCTTCCATCTCAACACCTGTTTTTCCAGTGCAAGAAGCTTCCCCTTCAATCTCAACACTACAATCCTCAGGGTTTAACCTCAAGTCCACACGAACATGCGTGAGAGCAATGTTATGACACAGTGGGATTAAGCTGCTGGTCTGTTTTGCTCCGTTAATGCCAGCGATTTTGGCTACTCCAAGAACATCTCCTTTCCCCATCTGATTCGCTAAGACCAAATCGAAAACTCTTTGCCCTAGAATCACTTTGCAGCAAGCCAATGCGGTTCTCTTAGTATTGTCTTTGGAAGAAACATCCACCATTTGAGCTTCCCCTGAGACCCCTACATGAGTTAGCCTCGACATATCACTAGCCATTTCTGCACCTTGTTTATATTCTGTAGATTTCTGATACTCGATATGGGATCTAAGATCGGAATTCTCCGGGACTGTAGGCTTCAGAGATTCAACTTTGGATTTCAATTCAGAGAAATCCATTGTCCCAGGACCGGAAAATCCATCGGGAGAAGGTTGTGCTCCAAAGATTGATTGCATTTCCTGAAATGCCAAACGATGGGCTCAAAACAAAGTACGATGAAGGAATTAATGGAGAAAGCAAAGAACTTTTAAGTATTTGTTCCGTATAATCGTTAACCCAACCGAGATCACTTAGCTTCTACTTAGCTTCTCAACAGGATTGAAAATATACTTAGATTAAACCATCAGAATGAATCTACTTAGCTTCTCAACAGGATTGATATTATAAAATCCAAGATTTGATTGGTATAGCAAGTTACAGATTCACGCAAAAACCAATTCATAGAGAGTGAGAGGACCTGATTCAGCTCATTCACGATTTGGGCATCTATTCCATCGGAAATTTTACTGCCGAAAGCCCTTTTTGTGGGAGAAAACACGGTCGGAAATCGACGGAGAAACATGGCGTGACGAAGCGTCGAAAACATTTTATTTCACCACAAAACACAGCTGAAGAAGAAGAAGAAGAAACTTGAAAGTAGGGTTCTTCTAGCAAATTGTTCTCTTAAATCTTAACCGATTTGGTTTAAAACTCAATAACCGATACGAGTCGCACCAATTTTTTAGCTTTCTTCTCTGATTTCTATTGGATTTGGAATTTATAATTTTACCAAACCTCTCAATAATTCTTATTATCCCAATTGAAACAAAGTTCAAATTACTGTACTATGTGTACAAATGAGCTGCTAATCGAGGCTTAGCGATGGCCCACAATGGTTTTGCCTTAGGCATAGTCATCCCGTAAACTTCCACCGTATCAATCATTTCCGGCGAAGACCAGTCAAAGCAATGGAAGAGCCGAGCCAAAGCCATCAGCACCATCGTCACACCCAACGGAGCTCCGGGACACTTCCTCTTCCCGGCACTAAACGGCAATATCTTAAAATCCGGCCCGTGGCTTATCTCAACTCTTCCGCTACCGTCTACAGGCAAATGTCGTTCGGGCCTAAAGTCTTCAACGTCAGCCCATATCTTAGTGTTTCGGCCCAAACCATGTGTATTGATGAAGACACGTGTCTTTGCTGGGATGTAATAGCCGTTGATCGTAGTTGGTCGGACGGATTCGTGAGGGATTAAGAACGGTCCGGCCGGGTGCATTCGAAATGTCTCTCGTACCACACAACGTAGATAGTTTAAATGGACTAGATCCGATTCATCGACCATCCGATTTGATCCTACGACACTCTCGAGCTCTTCTTGAATTTTACGCATCACTCGGGGCTGCTTGATCACTTCCGCCATTGCCCATTCGTTTGTTACCGCTGATGTGTCCGTTGCAGCCGCTATCATGTCCTATTGTACATTTACAAAATGTATGAGATTTTTACTTAGGATTAGTTTTAGGCCTTAATCACTGATTTGATGCATAGATTAACATAGAGGATTAATTTAATACCTGAATTAGAGCTTTGATTTCAACGTCATCCATGTGTTCTTTACCATTTTCACCGGGAAGAGATAATAAAACATCAACAAAATCCATTTCTCCGTTATACTCTACATTTTCCCGTTTTGCCCTTTTGTGCTCTTCGATGATTTTCGTGTGAAACATGTCCACACGCTTTTCCACGTCCCTCATTTCCTTCTCGCAACCGTACGGATCAACCCATCTCCAAAACGGCAAGTAGTCTCCTAAGTAAATAATTCCCAACAGCCAAAACAATTTATGAGTTATATGCATAAACTCTTGGGCTTCTTTGGGGCTTACTAACGATCCTGGCCCAAAGAATTGTTTTCCTAGGAGCATCCGAGTCACGTTGTTCATAGAGAAAGCACCCAATACTTCCCTAAGGTTTATCGGCTTTCCGAATTCGGCTCTTTCAAGGACATCCCGTACTAGATATCGAGCTTCCTCAGCTCGTTGGACCGTAAAAGATTCGAGCCTTTTGGTTGTGAGTAGGTGTTCCATGCATATCCTCCTCATTCTTTTCCAATGCGGACCCATTGGCGCTAACGCCACGTCTCCACATCCGTATGCTAGATGAACCGCGGCTAGTGTTTTAGGCCTGGATGAGAAAACATCGTCCTGCTTGAGAAGAATCTCTCGGATGATATCAGGATCGTTTGTTGTGATGGCATCAATGTTTCCAAGCCGGAGGTAGACTAATGAGCCGTATTTGTCACAAAGTGCGGCAAAGTCTCGGTGAGGTAAAGGGCCTAACTGTAGAAGGTTACCCAAAATAGGCCATCTTTGTGGGCCTGGGGGAAGCCTTTGAGTTTTACTTGCTGAAGCTTTGAGCCATTTCCACAAAAGAACATTAAGAATGAGAACAGCTAATAGAAAGAATAGCACTAAAATCATCTAATTTTATATTTTAAGTTCAATAGGTTTGTCCATTACCACATATGATCTTTGTTGGCTCATTATATAACAGAGAATGGAAGACTATTAGCTAAGTTTTTGTTAGAAGTATTAATTATCACTTTTCAAAAAATTAGATAAACCCATATATTACTTCTCTCTTTGTGTGACACTTTTAGAAAAGACATGCTTTGTTCATGTTCTTTGAGTCGGTTTATTAGGACAGAGTTAGCTGAGGAAAGCTGGAAAAGAGACACATGTAAATTTCTAAATAATTGATAAGTTGAACACGTTTAAAATCAGTCTAACACGTAACACTATTATATTTCATAACGATTATGACATGTATCGAAAATCTAAATGCACTTAGATCAACTAAAGTTAAGAAGTTAAGTTAGATTAATAAAAACTTACAAAACTGAGAATTAGAACCGAAATAAACTAAATACATATATTTATTTGTGATACAAGGTTAAATGTTACTACTAAAAGGCTGGGTATCAAATGGTTCCATGGTCTAGCGGTTAGGACATTGGACTCTGAATCCAGTAACCCGAGTTCAAGTCTCGGTGGAACCTTTTTAAGTTTTGCTTTAAACTTGTCTTGTCTGTTTCTTTCTTGTTGTTTGCTGCATCCGGTGTTCTTTTGCAATCTTTAACAATTTGGACTTTTCGATTTCTTCTTTCTCTATATCCTCGTCTACAGTACACATCGAAAACATCAGAATGAAGTAAGGCTGATGCTTGAGCAAGTCTGATGCTTGAGCAAGTCAATGACTTTTGACAGATATAACTCTGAAAACAATAACATTTTTGTCCTCATTTGGCCACTGTAAACGGAGTAAATGCAATTATATTGAGAATGTCTAGTGTTGTCAATACAACTTCTAAAATCCTAGTTTTGAGGATTCTTACAGGTGTGTAAATATAACCAAAATAAACAATAACAAAAGAAACCTAGAAGAATAACAAAAAGAACCATTCAAAACCGGCTCTTCACTACAAACTTACTTCCACCTCCTTCTGTCTGTCTTCTCCAAAAGGCCTATCTACCTGACGATGTTCTTGACTGAACAGAACCGGACTGCTCTCTAGAGAAGGACGAGATAAGCTTCTCTTTCGTTAGCTCTTCAGATTTTATCACAAACGTATGGAACACTGTGTCCTGAGATATCTCCAGATTCGAGTCTATCACTTCTACTTTAGCCTCTTCAAACGCATGGAAGATTCTAGAAGCCGGATGAGACTCCAACGGACAGTTCACCCTCACTGTAACGTCTTCCCCTTCCATCTGAACATGACTCTCCGGTTCCAAGCTAATCGGTGGGTTTGAGCTATACCCTAACCTCTCTCTATCCGCTTCCATCACCTTGACCTTGGCGTGAAGCTCGTTTATGTAAGAAACAGCGTCTCCCAACAAGGACGCTTTGTCCATCTTCGAAATGTTGGGAACAACTGATCTCAGAGCGTAGAACCTCTGGTTAAGCTTCTCACGCCGTTGTCTCTCCGCTTCCACGTGGTTCAAAGCTTCCGCTCTCCCATTCGCAGGCCTCCTTCCTCGCTTTCTCGGTCTGTTGCTACCTGACTCATCACCACCACCACCAACCACGTCAGCCCAATCAGCTCCTCCTTCTCCGTCAGAGTTATTCTCAGAAGCCCTCGAGCTCGCTCCAGAGAAATCAATCTGCATTTGCGCAGGAGGAAGCAGCCTCTGCGTTGACGATTGCTGCAAAGATTGAAACTTGAAATCCTCCGTGCTTGGGACTTCCTTCACATTGTTCGCCGTCCTCGAGTAGATCTCCGGTTGGATCCACGCAGGACTCAGAAGACTGTTATTATTGTTGCTATTGCTGTTGGTGTTGTTGTTGGTGCTCGGATTCGAAAACATATACTTGTGGCCGTTGTTGTTATTCGGATAAGCATCTAATCTCCTCGGAACTCTATCATCCATTTTCCTAACCGTAAGCTTCTCTCTGAACTGTCTATGTTGCTGTGGCTGCTGCTGCTGCTGTTGATGATGAAGAAGAAAGCTCGAATTCTGCAGATCTTTCCCGAATATCTTTGAAGCGTTAACGTTTCTGTTATCATCATTCTTCTCAGGCAAAGCAGCAGGAGGAGGAGCCGTCACAATTCTAACCGGACGAGGCAAATTGCTAGAGAACAGCGATCTAATAGACAACATTGACTCCTCACTCTCAGGCAAAGACCTCGTAGAGCCCAACTCAACCACACCAATATCAGTAGGAACCAACACAATCGTCTGGATTCCAGCGGATTTAGCGAGAAACGACCTCACGCAGTAATCAGAACCGGAATTGACCACATCGGATAACCAAACCGGTTTCCCGGAGGAGAAAGACTTCCCTGGACCTCCTTCACCGCGAGGGAACGAGAAGTACATGGAAGCGAGAAGAAACATCTCAGTGTCTGTGACTCTGTCTAACCCTAAAGCACAGTTGTCTTCTTCCAATCCGCCGAACAGAGCGTGGAGCTTCTGCAATACGCTCTTCCGCATCGTCTGGTGCGTCTCTTCCTCTCTTCCCATGCTTAGAATCCTCACGATCTCTGACTTCTCTCCTTCTTTGGGCTCTCTGCAGGATCCGTCTCCCCAGCAGAGCACCAAATCTCCGGCCTTTGACCTCGAAATCTGCCAGAAGATGGCGTAGTTCCATGAGAAATTCGCGGCGTTGGGTCTCTCCACGAGATCCGAGAGCTTGTTCTGCAGATTCTCGTCGCTTCCTATTGTCATCAGGAGATTCGCATTCGGTACCGAATTCGATAGCAAGTAATCGAGAGCTCGTTTGCCCAGTAATGAAGCAACAATCGCTTTGTCATCCTCGTTCCACACCACGCCACCGATGTTCATCTCTCTCTCTCTCTCTCTGATTGCCAAAATTAAACAATCGAATCCAGATCTTCGGGAGTCTTCGGTCAAATTCTAGGGTTTAGAAGCGAGACAGATGCGAGAACACGGCGGAGGATAACAGGTTTGCATGGAACACCAGAGATCTCAGATCTTGCTCTATCTAAACATTCAAAATCAAACATCAAAAACTCAAAATTCGACTTAAATCTTCACACAAGCAACTCATAAAAATGGGGAAATTAAAGAAAGTATTTACCAGTAGAGTAACCCCCGAGATTTTCTCCTCAAAATGGGAAATTTTCTGAGAAAAAAATCTCTCTTTTTAATCCGACCAAAAACAACAAATTGTATTTCTTCCCAATCTGAAATGAACAAAACGGAACTTCCCCGAAAAAGAACCCTAAGAATCGAAGAAAGAGCTGAAAATAGGCAAAGATTAAACCAAAAAAAAATTATATAAGATTTTTCAGTTTCCTCTATCGCTCCCTCTTTTGACGCCGTGGCCAATTGAATGAATTCGAGCAAGAGAGAGAAAGTCCGACGCATGTTCTTCGTGCTCTTTTTATTTATTTTTCTTAAATGAACAAAAAAACAAGACCTTTCACTTCACTTAACCATAGTTACCTATTTAACCACCTAGATGAGTTACGAGACATAAAACCAAGCTAAACTAAACCGGGTCGAGTTTGGTCCGGGAGACAGCTTTGTCTCTGTCTGAATTATCTTCACGCTCTAATTAAACCTTATATTATGTCATGTTTAGTAGTAGGAAATGTATATTTTTGCCACTAACTGAAATAATATAGAAATATGGTTGATTAATCAAATTTGCATCAGATCTGTCTCAGCGGTATAGATCTGAACCAGTATCTAACAAATTGATTAGATTCTTTGTACAGCACATATACTAAAGATTAAAAATAGTTTATCTCTGAAATTTCTGAATACAAAAGGGGAAACCAAAACCCAAAATTAGTAATTTGCTTTGGATGTTTAAAACTTAAACAAAAACACATATTCAAAGTATGCCAAGTCCATGGTCAAGCACCCGAAACTCTGACCAAATCTATTCACGTTAGTAGGCTTAGATAATTAAAGACTTTGCTGTAGTATAGTTGTTGTTTGAGTTTTAAACTGATCTATTACATGAGCTATATAGTTTTAAAATTCAGTATAAAGATGCGAACTCTTTTTGTTGAAGGGGAATTTTGTGATTAGAAAACTCGGAGCATATGGTTTTGTAGTTTATACAGTATCAGAGATTACTTTTTGTAGTTAGTTAAACGTCATCATTTGTTCTTTATTATCAGATAAATAGATTACTTGTTGATAATCAAATTTTACATGTTTGGACTTTGGAGTAAACACTTTCAAAATTTAGTAATAATCGGAAATTTTTAATCTGTGTAGAATTAGTCACTGTTTATAAAGTCTACTAAAAATCACCTAAGATTTTATATTTTTTGCGAAGGTAAATTCTTAGTTTTTTCTAGAAAAACAAGATCCTATGTTGCAGCTCAACTAGTGATGCTACAAGCCTGCAATATTACATCTCGAAGAAAATTATTTACGCTCTTGGATCCATCACTAAAATAACTATATATGGACAAAGACCAAACTTAAAGGCTGTAACAAATCTATAATTTATTTTCTAAGTTTATACACGGAAGTTTCGTAGGTTTTATGCGCGAGACGTGAGAAGGCCATCGGAGAGTTTTGTAACTTATAAAGCGTGACGTGGATGATTTTTAATTTATTTAAATTGAAATCAATATTTTGAAAAAAGCCAACTCGATATCAGAAGCTTAAAAAAGTCGGCAAGAGGCGTGAAAGGCACGTGATATTCACGTGGATCGAGGAGATGACCAGAATGAGAAGAACGTGAGATGCATTTAATTTTTTTTGGATCTTTTTTATTTTCAAATGCGCCTGCACAGCTGCACTTTCTTTGCGTCTTTGTACTGATTTTTTTTATTCTCTCGCTCAACAATATAGTTTTCAGTTTCACTGTCAACAACTCAAAATTATCATCAAAATATACACAAAAGCGCATGGAAATTATCGTATGCAAAAGTAAAAAAAAAAACTAGTTAAGGAAAGTTGAGTCACGAGTGGGTATAATATGGCGGTGAGAAACACACAGCAAAAAGGTGGGGACCGCGTGATTCACGTGTTTAAAGAATCCTTTAATTCAGACGTGGGTCCCACTCTTCTAAGTCAACAACTTCAACAATCTCCAAGTCAAAGGCAGTTCAGATCAAAATGGGCCTTTGTAACGGACCAGGTTTTGATGGGAATTATTGTTATATTGGGCTAATGGGCTTGGATAAACGTCAAATTAATATTTTTTTCTTTCTAAAGGCCATCTATTGAAGTGGCTGCTGACGAACCGCGTTAATGAAGTAAAAAGAGAGAAGTAAAAACAGTCGTTGTACAATTCTTAATATTGACCTCTTTGTAGCTAGATCTAAAAAGAGAGAGAGAAAAGCCTGTTTTTACTTCATTAACCAAACAAAGGAGAGAGAAAAAAACCTATTTTTACTTCATTAACCAAATATTTCTTAGGGATTCTACTCGTTTATCCCATATTCGCGTCTACGTACAGTTGAGTAACTAAATATGTATATTCATTTTTAAAGAGTGAACTCCGTGTTTAACTTCTACAAAGAAAAACGTCACCTTTTTCGTAACAACCAAAACATAATCATAAGATACTACTTTGCATCTAACAAAAACTCACGAAAAGTTAAAAAGCACACCGACCACAATTTAAAGCTCATCGTATGGAAAAAACAAACAAACTTAAAGCTGATCGGAAAAGACGTCACACACATTGATATATGATTTCAGTTACTTCCTGCTTAGAAAACGAACAAGTGTTTCTTTAACAAAACCAAAAACGAACAAGTGTTTAGGTTTTTTACATTATGCACCCGAAGACAAACTAATATCTCTAACTGATACTAGTAAAAGCCGTAAATGTTGATGTATGCATATAGAGAGTTTTGTAACCCCTCTTCCTCGCTGTTTCCCAATTGAGAGTGTATATATTTAAGTAATTTAATCGATCACAACACTACTTCGAGGAAATTTTAATATTTCCTTGTTTATGTGTGCGAATTTATTGATTATCTATTCAGCGACGGGATGGGTTAAACTCAAAAAAGTGGTTTCCATACCATTCAGGTGATATGTGTCAAGTGCCCTTTTGATGTTAAAATATAAATCACCGTATGAAGACGTGATTTTTCTTGTGATAGTCATATATATCCATCCTTCTTGAAACATTATCCATATACGTACGTTTAAATCCAAACTTATAAAACTATCTGTGACATGTGTGGCTTACCGATATAATATAACAGCCGTAAATATCATTGTGTAGTTCTTGACTTCTTATTCCTATGTAATGTAACTAAGATCACAAAAGAGACTTTTAACGTACTGTTGATTTCTTGTGAGTGGCATAGACTAGAGTTTAGACTATGGTCCCTTCCGAAAACAATCAATGCTATTTGAAAAAAGCAACCTATGTGGACCTGCGTAGCCCAAATATATATGAAATAACAGAAATATAATCAGATAACAATTAGGAAAGAAAAAAGTTATTTGTAGATACATTTTCACGATAATGGCATGTATGCACACACAAAATTACACCTAATAAAGCGTTTTTCATTAAAAACAGGAAATTAATATTCACATTTTACCCAAAAAGAACAGGAAATTAATATAGAGAACATGTATCACTTTTTTGTGCCTAAGTATAATGTGTTTACTGGGAAATGTCAAGAGAGGAGAAATTACTTTAGTAGTAACAATGTGGGATGATGATGAAATACGTAAATTTTTAACCACCAACGTTTGTTATCAAACATAATCATCGTTCAACAATTCGTTAAAACAAATTGCTGTTCTTTAATTGGTTAGATATTTTTCCACCTCTCGTTTTTTTTTTTAAAGTCACCAAATTATTGAAATTTCAAAATCTTGTTGAAACTATAGGAACGTCACAAGTAGTCAAGTACTCGAGCTATTGAAAACATTTCCCCACCATTCCCGATTGCTGGGAGACAAAGATTTGACGTATACGCTTTTTTGTTTAATTTGACATAAACTTTATCATCGGGGACATCAATAAACCACGATCTTAAATTTTGTTCTTATGCGATAATTTATTCAATAAATCGTTTTTGCTACGATAACTATAATTTACTGGTATCTATGGTTTGATACTTTGATTCAGTTAATTAGTGTAACAATGCATGGACTGATGGCAGACTATATTACTTATATATACGAATACAAGGCCATATGATCACTGAATATCCCACTATATATATATATATATATATATATGCTTTCATGTTTCATCTAAAAATATTTTATCGGATGTATACATAAAATAATATTAAAATTAACTTTACTCCAACTATAGCAATCGGCGGTAGATAGTTTTGTTTTTTGTTGGAGGAAATAAATATCTAAATGTATTGATGTTGGGGGTACTTATGTAAACTCGTATAGGTAACAGTAACGCTTCTGTTTCCAAATGGGATTGGATGAGATTATAAATGATGATAACAGTGTATGACTAACCACATAACAAACTCTTTTTCATGTTACAAAAAAGAATGAAGCCATCACCACCACCCTCACTCACCGATAACGAACCAACCGCCGCTGCTCCTGCCATTAAATCTTGCGGAGGCGGTAAAGAAACCAGCTCGACGACGCGGCATCCAGTGTACCACGGAGTCCGCAAACGCCGCTGGGGAAAATGGGTTTCCGAAATCAGAGAGCCCCGGAAAAAATCTCGGATTTGGCTCGGATCTTTTCCGGTGCCGGAGATGGCGGCTAAAGCTTACGACGTGGCGGCGCTTTGTTTGAAAGGAAGAAAAGCTCAGCTCAATTTTCCCGAAGAAATCGACGATCTTCCTCGGCCATCCACGTGTACAGCCAGAGACATCCAAGTCGCGGCAGCCAAAGCGGCCAACGCGGTCAAGATCGTTAAAGCGGGAGATGACGTGACAGATATCGACGACGGAGATGATTTCTGGGAAGGCATAGAGCTGCCGGAGCTGATGATGACCGGAGGTGGTTGGTCGCCGGAGCCTTTCGTGTCCGGAGATGATGCCACGTGGCTGGTTGACGGAGACTCGTATCAGTATCAGTTCATGGCGTGTCTGTGAGTGTCGTTGTCGATTGTGTCGTATTCGTTATACGTGTGCGTTGTATCGTTATTGTGTTGGCTAGATAAATTTAATGCATGTATATTTTTAATGCATTTCTCTTTATATGTTTCTCGTTTATTGTTTAACGTGATTAATAAATAGGTAATCGCTGTTTCTTAAGTCTTAACTAGTGGAGTACTTACCAAGTTTGTACACTTTGTACGATCTTGAAAAATACGTATAGTGTACGTTATTACACAGTTTTAATTACATAAAATTGTATGCATGAGTAGAACTGTTGCTAATTCTAAGTGCCACACTTTTAGGGCTTTATTTTATTTTTTAATAGTCTATGTAATAATTTTTAAAACATTAGAGCTTGATTTTAACTTCTTACATAAAGAACCTGCGAAAAAGTGATCGCTATACCTAGCATGATTTCCAATTTGGTACAATTTCGATCATTGTTCATCCAATAGTTTTCGGACCCATCTCCTTACTTAAAATCATAACATCATTTTCAAATTATTGTTGAAATATTTTTTTTTCGAAGTATTTGTTTGTTTTGTAATTTTATCAACGAAAGAAAGACAGAACTACTTAAAGAAAGCTGAAAGCATAGGGATTCGAAACTGATGTTCACTTGGTGTGTTTGGGATATTGCATTATGTAGAGCAATGTTTGAGGTTTTAATCACATACAAAACCTTTTTTTAATGTTAATTTACAAAAACTTATTTCGTACAGGCTTTTTTTCGTCAACTTCACTTCTAAAAGTTACGACTGAATCAGTTATATTCAGAATAATTTTCTCCTTTCCACTTATTTTACTTGGTCCCAAAAATTAATAACCAGTTCAATTATCTTTTTCAAGATCTCCAAGTCTCAACATAATCGATAAACGACAAAAAGGAGAAAATTTCAAGCATTGATTAGGAGAAGTGAAAAGGCGTTTGTACCCTCTCAAGATTCATTAGACTTTACTGTTCTCTACGAAATAGAGAGACTTCAGAGTCCTTTTGTACCAAGCGGGGCATAAATATCTCATGCCGTTTATCCGCCACGAAAACGACCGTACGTGCTACTTCCTCTTTATAATCCGGCACCCAGTTTCGTAAACGCCAAAATTTGAAAATTTTGACTGATCGAAGTATGTCCAAAGTCATACTAACCGTAGAATGTGTTACGGGTTAAAGAATGCTACATTCTCTTAACAGTTGTTTTCTTAAGCGTTTGTGTTTCGATGTAAAGCTTATATAGTGTTAACAGATCTAAAATCACGTGGAGAAACATGGAAATTGTCATTCATTTAATTCATAATATAAGATCAATATTCACATACGTGTTGAGAACTGGACCACAACTATGTTTTCTTTCTCCCATAAAGAATATCCCTAAATATACCACCTCTTGTATAAGCCCGAAACCTAAGCTCGACATTTTATACAGTAGTAATTATTTTACCTCTAATCCTAGTTTTTTTTGTGTAATCTGACATGTGCAGATTAAGTTGTAGTGCTGTGGTAATACTTATGCTCTTGTAGGACACACGACAAGACGAGAACGCGGAAATGGGTACCCGCATGGAACCAAGAGCTGTCTGGGTGGTGAATTTTGAAATTATTAGTGATTTGTCCTTGCATCGTCATAATACGATTTTGCACCACATATTAGGATATTTAATAGAACACGTGTTACCGAAACCAGGTCTAAAACCATTCTCGGAATTTATTGTTTCAGACAAGGATTTGTTGGACTTGAATACAACTACACTCCAGAGCTATTTAGTGGTTTAGAAATCGTCCAAGAAAATCGAATATTGCATTTGTATATTATGAAAAGGGAAAATGCTGCTTCATTGTGAACCGTTGCAGTACGCAATGATCAGTAAACATCTCTCTGTTTGAAAATTCATTATAGCATCTTACCACTATATATTATTTGGAATCAATACGGATACAGAGAAATAATATCAATTCTGACCCAAAAATGGCCATACATAGACATGAAATCATCTTTTATGTTTTATAAAATCTCGTTTAAGCTCAATAGTACTAGCTAGTACATATAAACAGTTGTTCGGAATATCAAAGAGAAGCTTGTCGATGCACTGGAAGAAAATCAAATTCACAAGTCACAACGGTCAAAAAGAGAGAAAAGTTACCGTTTCTTAATAAAATTCATATTTACTCTAGTCTTCACCTTAACCTTCGATTGTGATAAAATACGCGTGACGTCATAAAATTTAAAACGCTAAAGAATCCAGCACGTGCACGGAGCAACGCACCACTCTATGGGCCTAATTAGTAAATTGGTGCATGCAATAGCAGAAATAGGCTCAAATGTAGATTTATTTGATTCCACCTTCTCAAGCTTCTAGTGCTCAATGTCCATGTTTGAATCTCTTTTCATCTCAATTTTGTAATTTGTATAAGAGAGATAGATATAACAAAAATAAACTTCCATTCATGAAATATCACACATACATTATACATACATGAAGACAAGACACTAACACAGAGTTTAGAAGGCAAAGTGAAAGTTAAAAACCCTACAACTCTGATGAACAAAACAAAAGACATTTTGAAGATCCTAGAAGGGAAACAACCATCCAACAGTCCAGCCTAGGAGCAAACCAGCACCAATGAGACTAAACCCTAACGCAAAAGCCACCATATACCTCCCAATCTCTCCCATTTTCTTCTTCCCCCTCTGTTTCCTCTTCTTCAGATTCATTCCTTTGATCTGCTCTTCTTCTTCCTCCCCCTCCTTCCTCATCTGCACATAAAGAGCTTCCATTTCAAGAAGCTTTAACCATTGCTTATAAGCCAACATCTGACCCGCCTGTCTCAACAAGATTGTTATCACACGGTCTTTCTCTGCGCAAGCTTCTCTGGCAGCTTTCTCTGCTTCTCTTGCTCTGGTTTGAGAATGCCTTAGTGCTTCCAAAAGCTGAGCTTTGCTTAGATCATCACTCCTAGGAGAAGACATTGGACTACCCGTGTTCTTGCTCTCTGTGCTTCTACTATTGCAACTCAAAGATCTCTCGCTCCAAACTCCTTGTTTCCATGGCGGGTTAAGGGCTGTTTTAAACCCCTTTTCGCCACTGGTGCAGTGAATCCTCTTGTGGAGCTTCTGAGGTGGAGGAAGATCACAGTTTTGGATGTTATGATCAAAAGATCTAGTCGCCACCAAGAGAGCTAATTCATCTTTATCCGTAGTGGCTCTCCACCACGGTGTTGTAGCTATATCTTTCTTGCTAATAAAGCTATAGTCATGTTCTTCTTCACCAATCCCTATCAAGTCGACGAATTCTTGCAATTTCTTGCATTTGGTATCTTCTAAGAAGGAGTTTGTGATCTCCTCATCGAATCCAGTTGATCCCTTGAGCCACCATTTGGCATCAGATGAGAAATCAGAGGAATCTCCAAAACTTCCTGAAGAAAAGCTGCTTCTCTCGGTGTTGTTGCCCGAAGAAGAATGATGGCAACAAGCTAACCTCGGAGCCATTTTAGCATCTTCGTGAACAGCAAAGCAACGGCTTGCTGTTCTTTGCCACAATGCTCTTGCTTCAGCTGCTCCCATTATTACTTCAATGTAAAGACAGAAGAATCCTAAACATAAAGAGAGAAAAATGGGAAATCAAAAGACATGTATTTCGGTTTATGAATCAAAATCAAAGTTCAGATTTTTGTTGTTGTTTCTTGCTACTCCCAAGATTGCTTCTAAGCAAATGATTAATTTATTTACAAGCGAATAATCTAAGGAATTTTAATCAAACAATACACGCAAGCCTTGGGATCAAGCATCTTCACAAGAGATATTAACAGTCAACTATTAATAAAATTTCCACCAAAGTAAAACCCATTCAACATAAATGAAATTCTGAGAAGTTTCGACAGATCCAGACATAAGAAGATCATATCTCATTACAAAACTAAAAAATAAAACCCAAGTTGTCTTGTAGTAAAGAACAAGTCTTGGGAAAACGAAGGAGTTTTACCACTGGAATCGAGGAAATTTACCAACTTTCTCTGAAAATTCGAATATCGGAAACAGGCCCATAAAACAAAACCATAAGAAATCAAATTGAAGAAAAAACAATCAGATCGTACAGACCGGAAGATGTGAGAAATTGTAAGTAAGTCAGACACGAAAACAGAACAGGGGAGTAAGATTTGTGTTGTAATAGATCAGAAAACGGAGTAACAACTAAAGATACCATTTTTATAAGTTCAAAGATTCCGTGAATCTCTCTATATAAACAAATGGAAGTGATCTTGCAACCGAAGCGTTTGGCTTTTCTGCTTTTTCTATATTCTGCTTCTTTCTTCATTCGCACTCTGCCCCCATGGATTGGAACTGATTTTAGTCTTTTACAGTTTTTTGCCGTAAAGCTTCTGAGTTACGACGCAAAACGACATAGTTTCAATAACTTGTTGGCTTGGTAAGCATCTGAAACAGCTGGATTGAGTACACGTGTAGAACAAAGAGAGAATCGACGGTTTACAAAATAGGGACCCCACTTTGATTTAAAGGATAAGACGTTTTTTATTTCCTTACATGGACCACGATGGAAAATAAAAATAAAAATCATTAGTCTTATTCAATCTTTAATTAGTCATTCCTTTGTTTTGTCGGCTTTAAATTTGCAACGAATACCATTTATGTAGTCAAATTAACAATCTTGAGGCACGTAATTTGATACTTTTTCAGTGCTTTACAGTTTACACAATTAAACGAGGGGGTTTACTAGTTACTTAATATAAGTACATATACTACATACGCAATCATGACATACATCCATCCAGGTGTACTTCAGTGGGATACGTGTCATTGAGCAGTTATTTAAAACCATCGTGTATCAGCCACGTGTTGTGTAGATCCCAGTTATTGTGTATTAAGCGGCCCAAATAAATTCCGTAAACAACAACTTCAAAATAGAGAGATTAATCATTAATTTAAGAATTTCTTCGTGTCTAAACACATTAAAAAGAGATCATCAAAGCTTCAAAATTAGTTTACTTACAAATATCCAACAGAATACTCTCGAATCATACCAAATCATATGAACATTTATACATAGATATTTGTTTGCTTGTATCCCCTTTTTCTTCTTTCTGTTCTCTTACCGCAACAAAAGAGCTTATTTATCACCATTGATGCCAAAGATGCGTACCTTGTGCATATTAGGGAACTTGGCAACAACGAGAACCATCACAGCGAGTGTGTTGAGGAACAGCCATGGATGTCTGTAATCCGTAGTATGCGATGCTATCAAATACCTGTTTTCAATATAAGGTTTGCGTCATTATCTAATAATGAGTAAGAAACCAAAGAAACAATGACAATAAGACTGACTATACAGTGAAAACAAAATAAATGTAGCTAGAACAGTTAATCGGTTTCAGATTGTGTGAATTTGTTTCCTAATATTTAGGCTGTTAACTAACAGACTAACCATGTGAGACACACACGGATAAGAGAGAGATGTAGCTCTTGCATTTAAAGATGCTCATTTCGTAAGAACAATGAAGATTGTTAATAAAAGAAGAATGTTGAGGGGTTAAGGAAGGAGGTGATGGGACTTACAGGACAACAGGAACAACGGTAAGGAATTTGCGGTTGCGTGTAAGTTGTTGACCGTTGTCCATTTGTTCCCACCAAGTCAAACCATTGTAGATTCCTTGGTCTTCTGCAAATGGAGTTCCTTTCATCCAGTGAAAGCAGTGATATGTTACCTGACCACCAAAAACAAATATCATCCATAAATGGTAACTTACAAGGTAATTGCATCTTAATTCGAAGCCTGAAAAACTTTAAATTTCTGACACCAAAACTGATTGATTCAAAATGAAAAGGGAATTGCATCTTTATTGCAATTTAAGCGTGATCAACTCAACATTCCTGATACTAACCAAACTGATCAATTCAAAATTGCTGAGACCAAAACTGATCAAACCATTAATCATATAAGGTATTTGTATCTGAATTCAAATCCTGATCAGCTCATAAATTTACGATAACCAAACAGATCGATTCTAAAATTGTCGATACCAAATGATAAACTCATTGTCAGATTCAAATCCAGATCAATCCAATCAATCAATCATCCAAATTCAAAGTTACAAACAATCAACAATCAAACGAGTTCTTTGAGAGGTAGAATCAGAATGAGACTTACAACGAAGTGAGCAAGATTAACAACAGTCCAAGCCATTCCAGGGGAACAACCGGAGACGGAGAGAACAACGAGCCAGCCGAAGAAGAGAATGAGTATATAAGTCGTCCACACTCCTGGATACATGAACCACTCCGTATTCCTGTTCATATCCGGCGGTGGTACCGCCTTCACATACAGATTCGCCATTTCTTTTCTCCTTTTCTAGAAATCTGATCGGAACGGATCGAATCTAGAAGAAACTCGAAACACGATCAATCCTCGTTTCTCCCCAGTTTTTTGATAGGTACCGAAGACGCTCTAATACAATCCCCAGAATCGTGAACCCAGATTCACAAAATTCTCTGAATCGAGGGAGGATTTTCCAGATTTTGGTTGGTTTAATACTTTAATTTTGTGTGCCCCGTGAAAGAGACGACTGTGGAATAAATAATTGTATTGGGATTTTCAAGATATTTTTTAGACGCAAAAATGAAGAACAATTATATTACATATCAAACGGTTGCGTTTTGGTTCCCACTTAGGCACTAAACACCAAACAAACGATTGTGAGAAAAGTCTTAACACCAAATTTTTCAATACACACTGATGAGAATTATAACTGATTTTTTTTCAATACTAAACTAAAGATGAGAGAAGAAGCTGGTAGAATTCTGTTTTGTCACCTAACAAAGTCGGTATCAGAATCTTCTTCTTCTTCTCCATCTTCATCAACTTGCTCAATGGTCTTCAAGTCAAGGTTGAGAGCCAAATCCTCAACCGAGACCTTAACCACATCGGTTCTAACGCCAACATCAGTCGCATACCGACTCATACAATACATGCCAGCGGTAACTGTTGCCACACCAATGGGACTTGGTATCAGCAACTTGAAAGGAGAAGAGAGAATCGCAGCCAAAGGAGCACCAACTATGGAAGACGCTTGACCGCTTCTCCCTACACCGAGCGTATCCATTATAAGCAAACCGGTCTTGCAGTAGAGCGCGAAATCCTCACAGTTGTTCTTGAAAATGTCGTAGTTGCCAAACCCGTTTTGGAGAAGGTACATTGCCCTGTGGATGACTGAATCTGTTTGGTCGGATTCCGCCGTTGTGCAAGTGCCTCCGCGGAGTTTGGTGAGGAAGACCGAAGGACTGACTCCATATTCGAAGCAGTAGAGTGAGCCGGTCTTGAGGAAACAGTCCAAGCAAGAAAGGACCACTCCGCTGTTTGGCTGTCTGAAACCACAATCTGGAAATGTTGGGCAAATGTCTTCAGAGGAAGAAGAAGCTGATGAGAATGACTCAGAGGGAGAAGAAGAATTCAGGTTGTGCTCAGGTCTGAAATGAACAACTTTGGACCCACCGACAAATATTCCTGCAGAAATGACATGTCCAGAAACAGTATCCAATCACCCATCTAGAGAAGGATTTGATAATTAATTGGGAATTAAAATATAATTTCAATGTTGAAAATGTCAATAAACCATAAACAATCTGTTATGTCAACTGCAATTTGATTTTACCGAAGACAAGAGAACATCAACATTGTGGGCAAGTCATGCGATTTGAAGCAAAGATTGGAATCAGAACACAACTAAGCAAAGAAAATACCTATTTTAATTAAGATCTGCCTAGATAAAGTCGTTAACTTTTGAGAATTTACAGTTCTACAAAACACAGAAGAAAAATAAACAAACTTGGGAAGAATGGATCTAAAATTACCGTGGTGAGAATAAGCGAAGACTGCTCTGTAAGTGTAGATGTGATCTCCTGACTTTAACTCTTCTCTCTCTATCTTGTTCGTAAGCAAACCCATTATTCTTCTTCTTCTTCTTCTCTCTCTGCACAAAGCTTTTCTCTTTGATTTGTGGGAAATGCAGGAAACGGCGTAACAAGTGTGAGCTCTAACGGTGGGATCTGACGTCAGCGAGATAGGTAAAGTAACGTTTTTTTCTGGCGAGGCTGCATATGATTGGGTGAACAAACTTGAGCTGTTGAACTAACCCGTTACGGAGTCTGTTGACGGCGTTATCTCTAAATCCAAACGAGACCAACGAGGTCCAAAGTGTTGATGATGACTAATCCCTGATTTTCCGGGAACCTTTAGACCTGGATCCCAGGTGAGGTTAATATGGTAATTCATCGCGCATGACGTTAACTATCAAGTAGCCTCGAACAAGCAAGAAGAGAATGGCTTCTTCGAGTAGGTCAAGTAAGGGATTTTGCATCACACACGACATCGTTTGCATTCTGCTTCTTGTATAATTTTCTTTTATTCTTTCCAAATGTTCAACCAAAACAAATAATCAATTACAAACGCTTTATCAATGCAAAGATGACACTTGTTGCTAGAGACAGATGCTCCAGTTATAAACTTTGACATCAAACTCTGGATGTTGTTCCAGTCTCTGTCTCAACTCCTTAGCTTTCTCTGTGTCCTTAGCCAAGATAAGAGAGAATCCTCCACCACCTGCACCAACGAGCTTGAAACCTGAGCAGTAAGGTTGCGCAAAGGCGAATAGCTTATCCACAAACTCATTACTACAATACGGATCAAGCTCTTGATGCAATCTCCAAGCTTCTGACATTATCTCCCCCAGCTCATCCACTTCACAGTTCATCAACGCTTCTCTCCCCGATTTCGCCAGCTCTGCCAAACGCTTAATGCTTGAAACCAAGAGATTGTCTCTTTGCAGATACCTTGTTACAACCTTGTGTAGGACTTGGTGAGCAAGCCTGACCTGTTAAGAATAAAGGCATGAGTTAAGCTAACGAGACAGTAATTGCAAGCTACAACAAAACTCTTCGTCCTCTCAGTTGTTGTTGTTACTTACTTGACCAGTGAAAACAACGAGGAGGCGTTGCTGCAACTTTGAGATCAGCTGTGGTGAGGCAAGCAAAGGAACAACTTGAAGACGAAGAGGAATTCCTGGAAAACTTGAAGTGAATTTGATTCCTGGGTATAATCCACCGATCTGGTCTTGCCAGCCACCTCCAGTACCCATGAGTTGCTCCAGAACCAATACGAGTCTCGCTACGTTTTCATTGCTTTCATCTCCATTAGATATCTGAAGAAGTCCTTTCACTACAGCTGCAGCTAGAATGCTAGAGGTTCCCAGACCGCTACCACGAGGAACATTGGCCCATGTCTTAATTGCTAATCCTGTGGAGTGGCCAAAGTTCTCTTGGACAATGCCGGTTACCAATATAGCAGACTTAACAAGCCTGAATGGATCATTGGTTTCAAAAGGTGTCCTGATGCTTGTTGGATCTTCGATGTGTAGCTCGTTCCCAGCGTCGTCTTGGATTGAGATTCCGCTCTTCTGATCTGTTGTCTCAATGATTGTGCCAATGGGAAGCGAACCTTCCAGGGTTATAGCCATGTTCAGGACGCAACCTGCACGCTCTAAACTCCATGGAGGTGTATCACTCCAACCTCCAACGAAATCTACTCGAACTGGTAGTTCAACTTTTGTCCTTCTTGGTTGAAAAACTCCATCCAAATGTGATATATGATTCTCGGAATGAGGCTTGCCGCTTGATTCCAAGAGATGTTCTGAGAAAAAAACAAATCAAAAAGAGATATCTGTAAAAGGAACGCATTAGCATATATACTCCAATTCCAGTAGCTAGATTTTACCTCTAAAACCATATCTCACAGCTGAAGCAGTTTCTTCTGCAACTGCTCCCCAGACTTTATGCTCCAAGTCTAAAGCTTTTGCCTCATCCCCACATGCTCGAAGAAGATCAACTTCTACTTGATATGCCCGACTCTTTGGAAGAATTTTGGAGTTCTGCTCCTGAAATTTAGGACACTGATCCAGAAAATTCTTGCATATTTCCAATCCTAATGGTTCTTTCTGTAAAATCTCATGGCAGAGCTGAGACAAATTCCGCCCAAGCATACCATAATTCATACATGCCTTTGCAATTCCAGCCGCAAGATCAGCTTGATGATTGCTGGAACCATTGCACATCTCAGGAAAGTTTATTGATCCGTGCAGCTCTTCTAAGCTTACACGTTGTGAGCTTCTCCATAAGGTAATCTTCTCCTTGTTTCTACTGTCATCTAAACCCATCAACCATGACGCTAGCTTCAGCATCTCACTATAACTGAGAATCGGGAATAGTTTTGCCTTCCACAAACATCTGTCTTGTGCAGCAATAGAGTTCCAGAGGTCACTTTCCTCAATGCCAAGATCAAACAGAACTTTCTCTAAGGGTTTACCGCAAAAAGTTCCATCTTTGTGAATCGAGTTCTTTGGATTGTCATGGAGACCACAATACACAATCACCTTCTCCTTGTGTCCCACCAATGGAACCTCCCAAAGACAATGCCTATCTGGAAGCATGAACCTGAAACTCTCTGGAGTTCCAAGACCTTCACTTGGGATGTGAATACCAACAACTATGGACTGAGAACCAATTTGTACAGCACCAGAAACTGTTGAATCATATATAAGTGAATCTTCACCAATGGAGACACCAGCTGAGATTTCACTAGACAAAATGACAGAAGACGCTGCAATATCAGAAACCGTAGTTGCAGGGATGGAGCATAAGTGTCTTCGGCCTACGATTCCTGAAGCATCTCCACTTAAGTGATCCAGTACCTCACTTGATGTTCCAAAATGCAAAAACTGCAAATCATCTGACACAAGATAATAGAAAAGGGATTAAAAAAAAAGAAAACTTGTTCTAGTTTTGCTAGTGTTGGGATCAGTACAAACTTACAGGTGCAATAGCTGAACATCTTTTGCCTCCCAAGACTGTTGACAAGAATTTCGCCCAAAGGTCGGGTTCGAAGCCAATCATGTCTCGAGGGAACCCAAGCAGCCACCAAATCCTCATACAAACTCATCTGCAAACCATTCCATTACAAAACATCTGTAAGAGGCTATTGCCTATTGAAGAACTACAAGGTCACTCTTTAGGAAGCTACAAGAACTACAAGGTCACTCTTGAAGAAACTGCATATATATGAGAAACTTAACCTCTTTTTTACTGCATAGAAGCTCCGAGATCATTGGTTGGCATGAGCATCCAAGAGCAACCAGGTCCAACCATGCTCTGCCCCTTGCAGATATAATCCCAGTGTCAAGGAGCGTCCGTCCATCATGTAAGATTGCATCTTTCTTGACAAGCTCCTCCACTGTAGGCTTCTGCAGAAGATCATTTACTAAACTGACAGTATACCCTTCTTCAAGGGACTCAGATTTGGAGGTGACGACAACACCATGGTTGGAAGCAACATCAAGAGTGATAGGCACAGTTACTATAGAGGCCGCATCTTCAGGGAGATTCATTTTAAAAGCATCAAAACATGGAAGAACATCACCGGTCATAATGAATAACCCACCTTCACAAGTTCAAAGTTAAGATCAGCATCCAAACACATTACATAATCAAATCACACTCTTTCTCTGTTTTCACCTTCATTTTTGAAAGCCTGTCTTGCACATGAACCGATTGCAAGAATATGATCAAAAAGGAGAGGAACAGGACCATCGGGATCATCAGCTGCAAGATATGGAAGCGGGAGGAACACTTTCCCCATAGGATTAGCCCAAGGAACCCTTTTGGAGTCACCTCCAGCATGAAGCATCAGTACATGCTTCTCAGAGAGGAATCTAACCCAAGACTTTGAAGAGTGTTTCCTATTTTCAGCACAAATGTCTGCTTCAGAGGACTGAGTACAATTACCATTTGCAACTTCCACCTGATTATTATTGAACATAACCATCAAATCAAAACCTCAAACAAAATTGACGCCGCAGTAATGTATAACGTTTAAAATCAGATCTAGTTTAAAATCAAAAGAGTTCATTGCACAATGTCAGGCCCAGATTCATCGATTAAAGACCAAATCAACTACTGATCATCCAGATATCAACAGCTCAAGCGACAGATTGTTCAAAAATGGGCTATGAATTATGTAACCTATCAACACAATTTACCTCGGGACCAGGATCGAATCCTAATTTCTCATAATGCCGAGCGAGAGCGTAGAGGGCATTGAGAGTGGCAGCACCAGACCCAATCCGCTTGCCATCTGGATCAGGAACGGCCAAAGTGACGGTGGAGCTAGCTATCCGTCCCATGCGCTTAGCTCGCCGGAGCTGCCACTCGTACAGCTCCGCCTGTTCTGGACTAGCCGCGGTGAGAACGATCGCATCCCAAGTGGGGACCCTGGTCGGATGGCGCACCGACAGCCTCAAATGGTACCACGATTTGCGGAGGATTGTGGCTACGTCAGCCTTCTTCCTCTGCTTGCTTGTCGAGAACCCAGACATTCTCGTTTCAACGAGAGAAATGAAATCTGGAGGTGTAGTGGACGAAGAAGAGACAGAGGAAGAAGAAGACGAACGACTGAAGGAAGTTTATTAACAGCTACTGGTCAAAGTCAAAGAGATCCAAGAAAAGCTGTACGTCGTCGTTTAAAGTTTCAAGCTTCACTTCATCTTCTCCCAAACCCAAAGATTAAAACTTTGCTTTTATATTCACAATCGAAACACACACTCTCTTGCTGTTGTCAATTGACAGTTATAAATTGGTATCGAACATTACAGGAAACCAAAATTGCTTAAACTTCAGAAAGTCTTAACTATGAAAGCTATCGAACATTGCCAATGGTAGAACAAAACTGAAAAACAAACATAGCCAAAGACGAGCGAAATAAATGTTTGAATAGATTTTAGCTTTCTTCATCCGACTGCGTCAGGGACGATAAGCCGCAACATTTAGATGTCATCATCATTCTTCGCGCCAAATAAGCTCGCACTTCAAGCATTTATAAAATCTTGATTCCGGCTCATCAGCTGAACGAATCTGCATTGATTTGAAGTATGCCTTGTTGTGGCCGCATCTTGGACATGGAGCTGATAAACAAAAGAATGCATCATAGAAGAATGGGGTTAAAACTTTATCACTAAACAGAATTAGAGATACGAATAGACAAAAAGAGAGTCAAAATATACTTTCAGTTTCGGGTCCTTTCGGTATATCCTTTTCCGTCACCACAGCTTCTATGGATTTCTTAACCAGCAATTGCTTCTTCTTTATCTCCACCTGTTTAAAAAAACAAAATCCAAAAAGCAGAAAGAAAGAGACATGTAAAGATTTAGCAATAAAAACCCTCGAAGGAGTGTTTTGGTTTTTGATTAGTACTAAAGTAAAAACCTGTCTGTCGATGGAGGCGATGTAGGGACATGTCGAGCAGAAGAATCTCGAACGATCGTAACGCAGCATGTTCCCACATGAAGGACAGAACTCCATCTTTCCCACCGATCTAATTCGCTGCTGAGTCAGCTCCGGGAAACAATTCTCGCCGTCGTCGAGCGGCCGCTTTCGCTGTCTCGTTCGTCGCCGTTTTACAAATAACCCCAAACGGGCAAACGATATTTGTCCTAATTGTTTTATTACTTGAGCCCAACTTTTCTACACTGTCCTCCTTTATTGGGCCTGCAGGCTCCCGATTAGGCCCGACTCATTCGAGAATATGGATCCATCCCGACAGATCAAGTTATCAGTCAATCGAGTCGTCTAGCTTACAGTTACAGATATGGTGAAGATAAATAGCATCTGTAGCTGTAAACAGTAACCATCGATCCATATATTATTGTCAATCATATACAATCAACAGCAACGACAAAGAAGATAAAATAAAGGGACCAAAAAAGCAATAAATTCATACATGAGGGAGGAGTAAGCAACAACCAACAATTGATGGGGGGCATAAGAGCTTTTTTAGGTGGTCTCTCCAGACAAAATGTGGGTTTCATGTTATATCAATAAATTGTCTTAGCAAAGTAATGACGAGTTTTGATAATGTCGGTTCATGCCCACAGCTATATCAACATTTTATATTCATCTAAAATTATATTTTTATTAAATTAATGAACAGAGCATCGTTGCTGTCTTCATAAAATAAAACACTTTGAGATATTAATATATTTCGATGACTAAAGAGAAAAATCAAGTTTCAGGTCGTAGCAGTTTTCGTTTTGATTTAAAATTCAGTTTCGATTTATTTTCTTTTGTAGAACACTTTGAATTCAGTTCGGTTTTTCAGATTAGGAAACAATCAACCAAATCGAAATTTGGTTCAGTTGATTTTTACTCGGTTTGGTTTGAATCGATTCGGTTACTTTTTTCAAAGCTCCAAACCATATGAAAAACAAAATTAACTCGAACCATTTTTCTTCTCCTTCCTTGCTCTGTTTCACTCACTCCCACTTACTCGAAAAAGACTAAAACTTTATTGCTTTTTTCGTCTCACCCAAAATTCTTGATAATGAACGAAGAGATGAGCGGAGAGTCGCCGGCCAATAAACACGTAAGTAAACCGACGTTGCCTGAGAAGATCGATTACGTGTTCAAAGTAGTTGTGATCGGTGACTCTGCTGTCGGGAAAACGCAGCTCCTTTCACGTTTTACACAGAACGAGTTCTGTTTTAATTCAAAATCCACCATTGGTGTCGAGTTTCAGACACGTACGATCACTCTTCAGGGCAAACTCGTTAAAGCTCAGATCTGGGACACCGCCGGTCAAGAAAGGTATACGCATTGCTCATTCTTTATTTTATATCATAAAGTTAAATCTCAGTTTTTCGATTCGAGTTAACTGTTTAAATAAACTTAAGTGGAACTTCTTTTTTCTTGGATCACGATAATGTAGATATGGCTTGATCTCATTTTGGGTCTAAATATAATTTCTAACTATATGGTTTGAATAATTTAAACCATTGCTCGTTTATAGCTGATTTTCGTTGGAAGGATCTCAATAATTATTGGTTTTTCTTGATTTGGTCTGTAATCAGTGTCTGATTTTGTTCTAGTTTCAATAATTTCCAATTTAAAATATTGATGTTTTACCGCGTTTCCCGGCGAGTAGATACAGAGCAGTGACGAGCGCGTATTATAGAGGCGCGTTAGGTGCGATGGTGGTTTACGACATTACCAAACGCGTCTCATTCGACCACGTGGCACGTTGGGTTGAGGATTTACGTGTTCACGCCGACGATTCCGCCGTGATTATGCTCGTCGGAAACAAAGCAGACCTCGCCGCCAATAACCGGGCCGTTCCCACGGAGGACGCCGTCGAACTCGCCGAGACGCAACGGCTGTTTTTCGCGGAAGTCTCGGCTCTAAGCGGCGGAAACGTTGACGACGCTTTTTTCCGTTTGCTCGAGGAGATTTTCAGTCGAGTTGTTGTTTCGAGAAAAGCTCTAGAATCTGACGGTGGATCCGCCATGAAGCTTGACGGTTCGAGAATCGATGTGATCTCTGGTTCGGATCTTGAGATTAGTAACACGAAAGAACACACTTCGTGTTCGTGTTGATTTTTGGGAGATGGGTCGAATATGGGCCCATAAAAGCAATTGATAGGCCTTATTTAAATCCACATATAACCCGGATGTTTGTTTATGGGCTTTGTGGTTGTTCTAAAGTTTCGTTTTTTCCGGTTTAATGTTCTTTGTAAACATGAATTAGTTGGTTAATTATAGGATCACGATATGTTATGATTCGTCTTCGTGCGTTCACCAGGCGTGTATAAATTAATGGAGATTTTTGCATAAAAGGTATAGTGAAATTATTGAAGCAATAAGTTCACTTAGCAGATATCTTCGTAATATTTTCGTGACATCAGCTGTGAGTGTCACTCAGAATCTGGAATATAATCCAAATCCAACAGAAGATATGATTCTATTTATTTCTGTGCATGCAACCGAATAATTTGAAGTGCTCCAATCACAAACTCGCTTTTTCGCTGAAGACCTAAATAAATGGATCTTTACTATATAATAATCCTTATATAATACATCTCACATTATCGTTAACATTATATATATGCACATATGATTAATCCGCCATCAAAGAGCTGCTTTATGACCACTTAGTTTGTTTATTTCTATGATGGTACCTATGTTACGTGTAAAGTTACTAATTACTTTAATGTTCATAACCAAAAGAAAGATTCGTATGGTGAAAATCTAAAAGATTTCTCAAACTTTTATAAATATCAATACGCGATACATTTCATCATGATCAGATTATCTCTGTCAACCATCAAACAAATAAATGTTTTCAGTAATATATACATACGTGAATCATTTATAAAATATAAATTATATCTGAAATATCGTTAAAGTATATATACAAATAGATAACTAGTTTTAAGAAAAACTAATTAAAAGGAAAAATCGTTGACTCGAAAAAGGAAAAGTCAAATGGGGAGCAATTTGCAGGAGAAAAGTCGCATGTTTACAACTTGCAAGACGACTCATCAGAAAATTGGCATCTTTGAAAATAATAGTAACTACGTTTTACATATTATTTTATCTTGTTTTTGTTGATTAAGCACTACGTTTAGATATGCAATTTACTTTATTAAGATGCATATATACTCATTTTTGTACACATCACCATATAAAGGATCATGAATTTATAAGCATATACAATATTATATATTTATATGTGTAGGCGTTTCCTCATAAAATAAATTAAAAACCGGACCATGGACAATCGTACTAGTCGTAGACACAATTAAATGGGACAGATGAAGTATAATCTTCCAATGGATATAGTAATTATAAAATGTGTGTACCAAACATTTTATGACATGCACTGATAGATGACCACGAGCGCATAATGAGTTATTAGCATATACCGTTTGAGCACCAATATATAACTTTGAAATAATTTTTTTTTTTTTTTTTAATAGTAGTGTCTGATTTGCCATTGCCATTGCCATTGGTTAACATCTTCACAGTTCGTACTTCTATTTAAAGCCTCGCACAGACCCAAACTTAGATCACAACCCAAAAGCTGAAAAAAATCAAGAACAAAAGAAGAAGAAGAGAACCATTTATCCATAATGTTCTCTTTAACCATGAGAACTGAAATAGAAAATTTGTGGTTATTTGCTCTTGCATCAAAATTCAATATTTTCATGCAAGAACATTTCGCTACTTTTCTTGTCACCATAGCCATCACTTGGCTTACCTTAACCATCGTATTCTGGTCTACACCAGGTGGACCGGCCTGGGGAAGATACTTCTTCACTCGCCGGTTTACCCTCGGTAATAGCCGAAAGACGAAGAATCTCATCCCCGGACCGAGAGGGTTTCCACTTGTGGGAAGCATGAGGCTAAGATCAAGTCACGTGGCTCATCAGCGCATAGCAGCTGTGGCTGCGACGTGCAACGCCAAGCGGCTCATGGCGTTTAGTCTCGGTGATACTAAGGTGGTGGTGACTTGTCATCCTGACGTGGCAAAGGAAATACTGAACAGTTCAGTTTTTGCAGATCGGCCGGTTGATGAAACCGCTTACGGTTTGATGTTTAACCGAGCCATGGGATTTGCTCCAAATGGTACTTACTGGCGTTCACTGCGTCGGTTAGGCTCGAACCATCTTTTCAGTCCGAAGCAAATCAAACGCTCGGAGGAGCAGAGACGAGTGATCGCGACGCAGATGGTGAATGCTTTTGCATGTAACGCTGAAACCGCGTTTGGAGTGCGTGATATGCTTAAAACGGCGTCGTTGTGTAACATGATGGAGTTGGTTTTCGGGAAAGAGTATGAATTGGAGTCTAAGAACAACGTCGAATCGGAATGCTTGAGAGGTTTGGTTGAAGAAGGCTACGATCTTCTTGGTACGCTAAACTGGACCGACCATCTTCCTTGGTTGGCCGGTTTAGATTTTCAACAAATCCGATTCAGGTGCTCACAGCTCGTTCCCAAAGTAAACCAGTTATTGAGCCAAATCATTCATGAACACAGTGCTGCCACGTGTAATTTTCTCGACGTGTTACTTTCTCTTCAAGGTTCCGAGAAATTATCACAATCTGATATGGTCGCTGTTCTTTGGGTTAGTAAATTTTTAATTTATTTCCTATATCTTTAGTCAATATTCGTAAATATTTTTTACTAAATAATCAAATTAATATTTCAAAATGTTGGTCCCTTTAGGAAATGATATTTAGGGGAACGGACACAGTGGCGGTACTGATCGAATGGGTGCTAGCGAGGATTGTGAAGCATCCAAAAGTTCAATCAACGGTCCACGATGAGCTTGACAGGGTCGTCGGCAGATCCAGAGCCGTTGATGAGTCTGACCTTCCATCTCTCACGTATCTAACGGCCATGATCAAAGAAGTGTTAAGGCTGCATCCACCAGGTCCACTTCTCTCTTGGGCGCGTCTCTCAATAACAGACTCCGTCGTAGACGGATATCACGTGCCGGCTGGTACCACCGCAATGGTGAATATGTGGGCTATAGCACGTGACCCGTCCGTGTGGGAGAATCCTTTAGAGTTCAAGCCTGAGAGGTTTGTGGCTAAAGACGGTGAAACTGAGTTCTCTGTATTCGGGTCGGATCTGAGGTTGGCACCGTTCGGGTCGGGTAAGAGGGTTTGCCCGGGAAAGAATTTAGGACTTGCCACGGTGACGTTTTGGGCTGCGACGCTTTTGCATGAGTTTGAGTGGCTTCCTAGCGTTGAGGCTAACCCTCCAGACCTCTCGGAGGTTTTGAGGCTATCGTGCGAGATGGCTTCTCCTCTCGTCGTTAACGTGCGCCCAAGGCGTAAGACAGTATAAGCTTTGGTTTGGTCAGTGCAGTGCATGGATACTTTCAAATATTATTGAAACTTAAAAATTCATGATATATATGCATCCTAAGAGCGAAGTAGATTCGCCTACTCTTTACCGATTTAAGATATTAATATACTAATGTATCATGGACGTGTATCATGTAAAATAAATATATGAATCATAATTATGTTTTATGTGGATTTACTTATTTACTAGTTCAATGTTAACTGATCGTCGTTATACACTTATACGTGTGGCATACACTTATACACTCATTTTAAAACAAAGTGAACTTTCCTAGGAAGTAGGAATCATTCCACTTAACTAAAATAAACACTAGTATAGTAGTATATCTTGCGTGTTGAACGATTAACTGAGTAGCTTCTCAGATTTGATTATATATTAACTCGAATTGTTTGGACTTGCTGCGAAATTTCTCAACAAGAGGTCAAGTCATGAGGATTTTTATATAATATACTGAGGTATTTGAATAAAGATTTGTAGTGTATGTAGGTGTCGTCGTCGAGTGTTCGACTCGGTTGATTGTTTCTAATTCTGACTGTTCAATAACATGATATCATTAACTTGTGCAATAGACTTATGAAACGTTAAACATTTTCCATCTAGTGGTTCGCGAAATGCATATCCTTTCTAAACTGAAGCAGACGCCATTGCCAACTGTTGCGGATGAGAGGAGAGGCTATTGGGTAAAACTGAAAGAAGACTGGATGTTTTTAGATGATGAGCCCATTAACTTTACATAGGCCTACTATATTTTTCTTTCTAGGCGCGCTCCAAGTGTATATACAGTATATGGGTCTAGACCATCGAGTTTAGGTTGCTTCTTTTAAGTTCAGGTATTTTCGTCGTCGAGTGTTTCTGAATGTACCATTAGCTTGTGCGATGGACTTACGAAACGTTAAACATTTTCCATATGAATCTCGGTTTTGATTAAAATTTCACATAATTTGGGTCATTCACCCTACTATTATCCACGAGTCGATGCTAAAGAAAAACAGAATGAAAAATTGTTTCAAAAAGATACAGAGGGCATATTAATTAAACTTGTGTGTAATACAACTGTTGGTCAAACTGGTTCAGTCAAATTATACAAGAAGTATCGAAAAGTCAAATCAACGTAATTTCCCGTGATGTGAAATATACATGGTGGTGAGTCTATATACTGTTATTTTTATTTTTACTTTTGTGTAGCCTATATGCTATTGTTTATAGTATAAATGTTATCTCTGATTGCTTGATTTCCTTTTTTTATTTCTTTTTGTCAAATTTTTGGTTTGTGATGGAAGTTACAAAAAAATCAAGAAGACAAAGAAAAACGAAACTACAAAAAAAAAACAAAGCGGCCTAATATACATTCTTACAAAATTAGGTAAACAAAAGTAACAAAGATAATGTTACTAGAAGTATTGGACTTGTTTATTAGTACGAAATTGTGTATATTGGAGTTTACTCTAAAAAAGGGTAACTAAAAATACCAAATCTCCATATATTTGAAATTGAATTATTTAAAAAGTAAAAACTAAAAAGAGATGCCATTATATAGACTTAAATATTGTTATATATGGTCAAGAGCTATGAGACAAACATGCCTCTAAACTTGACACAGCCCTTTATATTTATTACGTTCCTAATTACAATGCTACGTAGATAAAGTAGTAGCCAGACCTGTCTCCCTCTTTTGAAATAAATACTCCATATGATATGTCTCAGAATGTGCATGACTCAAATAACGATTGATTTAATATCAGGACAGTTAAAGATTTTAAAACAACAGTGAAAAGTTAAACAAATTCCAGCTATTAGGTCCATAAAAGACTTTTGTAAAATAATCACCTGTCCTCCACACTGCCGATATTAACTCGTAGACATAAATACTTTTATTTTTTAGCTGGTTAGAACTAGAATGCAATACTTGATTTGATTGGATATGGATAAGTTTTAAAAAGATATAAATATGAACTGTAGTTTAAATCGCCAGTTACAGCTACATAAGAAAATATGGTAATTTTAAATTATTTGTTTCAAGTATTTCACAACGTCCAAATCCGGAGGAACCAACTGAGAAAGCAAAGCATCGCGTCTTCTCCGTTTGTCATGATCAATCAAGTAATTATGCTTCATTGTTAGATAATCAATTTATTTCGCTGTCCACAATGTAGTTAATGTTTATTACTAGGACATACTCATGAACTAATCAAATTGGAGAATGTGATTCTTTTTTTTTTTAAGACTTGAGAATGTTATATTTTTTAAGTGATAAAATACCCCACGCCATAAAGAAACAACAACAAGCCTTCACGTCGTAAACAACTTCCCAGAAACGTCCAACCAGCCTAAACCGAATTCTATCTACTATATTAAACATATAATCATAATTAACTAATAACTACAATAAAAAATATGTTTTGAATTTGTTTTCCCGTAAGATAATAAATTGACAGTCGAATGAACATGACTGGAGTCTGGAGATGTTATTTTATACATCCACTTAAGTTTATATGTCGCTTATTTTAATTTGATTTTTTTGTATGGATCGGTTCATTATAAAGTGGTAATAAACACAAATTTGAACATTTGAATGTGGTTTTCGGCTTATTTTGCGGTCGGTATATATCCGCGGACTGAGATTCATCTGAAACACTTATATCACAATGTTGCATTTCGTACGCAATACGCCTATATATCACAATGTTTACAATTTTGAGAGAAATAAATGGTTTTCTTTTTATTCAAGAGAGAAAGAATTGTTTATCATTCGCTGTCAAAAAGTAAAATGTTTATAATTAATGAAGTTGGTAGGATACCTAAAAAGTGATGCAAAATTAAATTAAAAAAATTTTGTTTCCTAACTGGTCATCCTCAATTTACCCAACCACTCTTCTGACTAACTTCTCTTGCCTTCTTTATTTCGCAACTCAATAATACACTCTCGCCTATACATGCGCGTTTGCATTAATATACAGGTACAAATTGAGTCAAATATGAAGTTAGAACCATTTTTTATATTTTGAACGGTAACATGATACAATGACACTTCTCAAATAGAAGTTTCAAAATGTTAGTTTTGAACGACATTATATAACACGAACAAAGTATAAAATTGGATGTTCACGTGTGGCTCATTCAACTGATTAAAAGATATTCCAAATTTTTGCTCGATATGATATATTTAGGAAAAATGATTGCATTTTGTATATCCGTTGCAAATGTTATCAAATACGCGTTGAAAATACTTATCAGGGGTTTCTGAAAATTAACCTTCTAAAAAATCAGTAAATAAGTACAAAATTATCTCAGGTGTAGAACAGTGTTAGTTTTCCGAAACCATTATGCTAGTCCGTGGATTGGTTGTAACTAATCGTAGTCGTTTATACATATAACATTCTGAATCAAAGTATAAATTTTATGTCCAAGTACAACGTAATGCCGTGTCACCTCATTCAAAAATATGAGCATTAACTGCATTGGAATTAAAATTAAATATTTTTCTTGTTTAAAAAAAGCTAGGGTTTAGGAATGACGACTTGTTGCTGTTGTGTCTTATTAAAAGCCCATCTTCTCCTCCGCCACTCATCATTCCCTCATCATAACACCATCATCACCATTCACACCCATCTCTCTCTCTCTTCTTTTTCGCTCTCTTTTTACCTTTCTCTCTCTAGAGCAAGATGTGGGAATCTGATGGTTGTGAGTATTATTACGAGAATTAAGCTATTTCAGTTGAGGGGGCTGTTGTCTGGCACGAGGATATTGTATATACGCACACTGTATGTTGATTCATATGTATAAAGAGTATTCTCGGACCAGGCTTCATCCCCCCCAACACGTTATTGCCTCTGATCACCAGATATTATATAACAGCTTTGTTAATAATTATTTGCAAAACTTTTTGTTTTTGTTTTTCTTCTTTTGAAGTACATTAGCGTCTTTGATTCTTACATGCATGGCTTCGTAAAGAGAGAGTATATTTACCCATTTGCGAATCTTTTTTCTTCTTCTATTCCTTTTGTTTTGTATATTTTATATCATTATTTGTGTATTTTGAAAGTAACGAAATGTTTTTGCAAGAGCTGTAATACATAAGAATATCTAGTTTTAAAAGGACTGAAGAATACTATACACTCTCAAAGATCTAAGTTAAGTTAGCTGTTTTCCTGTAAATGAACTACTTTTTGTTTTATTAGTCATGATCAGAGTTTTGTCAAATTATTGTAGATTATACTAAAAAATCAATATACTGTAATATGTGTTCCTAAACTGAATGTCTCAAATCAAATGAATTCAAATTAGCATATCCGATAAACTTCTAATCATCATTCTCGATATCTCTGCTAGCAAAGACTTAGTACTTGATTGATAACAATATAACATGATTGTTTTTCGTTTATTTCTTGAACAAAACATGACTGAATCCATTTTGAATCGTTTTACTTATCAACTAATTTTGAGCTTAGAGCCGGTTGATAATCCTGTAAAACATAAAAAAAATAGTCACAATATCCCAATTAAACACACTCCTGGAAGTCTGAAACAATTATTACGGACAACAACAAAAAAAGTTTTTTTTCATGGCCTAAACCAAATATTTTTCGGAATATGAATACAGTTTGCATACTGATATATGTTCGCAGATCACAAAAATAAAATAAAGCAGCAACTCATGTACACTAAAAAGAGTTCACGTTAGGTTGTTAGACGAGCATCAGTTTGGTATTTTGGATGTTAAGAATAAAAGGATGCGACATAGGTTTTTCGTTATTACAGTTTACCACCATATTTGAATCACACTATTTAACAAGTCAATACAATCGACTTCAAAAACTTGTTCTTTGAATTGTTGAGTATTGTATTGCCCATTTTCTTATTTTACATCGACTTACAATTCCACGGCTTCCATTTATAAGAAAAGAAAAAAGAAAATGGGTATCAATTTACGTTAACCGAATCGATAACCCAATGTTGACCATCGGTTTTGACTTTCAACCGGTTGATCTCTGCGAACAAATTCACGGCTCTTCTCACTCCTCTATTATCCGCCGCCGTGAAATAATCGTGACCGAACAAAACTCCGCCTGGTCGGAGTATCCTAACCGCCCGGTTTATATCCGCCCAAGCTGAATTGAAGTCGTGACCCGCGTCTATCTCCACCAGATCCGCCGTCACTCCCCACTCACACAGCTTCTCCAAAGCCGAACCGGTCGAGAAAGGAACCGGCAAAATCGAACCGGAAAAGTCCGAGCTGACCACGTTTTGCATAAACTGGTACATAAGCAAAACGTCGCCGTTTACCAAAGCCACATCTTTAAACCGGTCTCGAAAGCCTGGCCAGCCACGGAAATCGTCGACGCAGAGAATCTGAGTGTCCTCGAGCCCGAGGCGGCGCGTGAGATTCGCCATGTGAATCGCCGACGCGCCTAGGAAGCTCCCGATTTCGACGATCGTCCGAGGTTTGACTCGGCGGATTAGATTCTCGAAGACGGCTCCGTACGACCCCCAGCCTTTTATTCTTTTTGGCCGGAGGTATTTAGCGGCGTGTGGTGGCGGGAAATCAGTGTACGGAGAAGTTCCGTTGAAGATCCGGTCGATAACAGTTCGGCGAATTAACTCGGGCGGAACAAGATCTCCGCAGCGTGTCGTTACTCGGAAACTGTCTATCGGGCACTTGACGGTTCTCACCGCCGATGTAGACTCTGGCTGCTGAGGCGGTTGACGATGGTAGTAGGCGGAGAGGTAACCAAAGGCGTAGGTTAGCAGTATGAAGAAAACGTAAGCTGTCTTGGTTTTAGAGAACTTTGACAAGAAGTGGAGGTAGTGAGGAAGACGCCGATCCTCTTTCATGATCAAGTTTTCTGAGGAAGAAATGAAGTAAAAATGATTAAGGAATAATGGTGTTTGTAATTATTAAGCTTATATAATTCGAATCATTGAATTTGATTATTATTATTTTGGCGGGTCAGTTTGTTAAGACGTTATCACAATCGGTTAAGAAATTCCTCTGTGATCTAATATATTTGACTTTACGTGTCTAGAAAGTTTCTTTTGATGTAGTCATATACAATCAAACTATTTACCTTTGACCTAACTAATGCTAGTAAATATAAAAATATAGGCCAATTTATCTTCTAAACAATTTTGTACTAGGTTAATGAAAAGAAATTATAGTCTCTTATTAGTACAAGAATAAATAAGGAAGTTTATTTTGGGCATATATTACAAATCGCTAATCTAGGTATTTTAACGCAATCGTACTAACACGAGCTCAATAATTAGGCACGTTCATGTGAACATGTTGCACATGTGAATTGCAGCTGTAGATTCGAATGAGAAAAATGAGGAAATGATGACATCAAGGAGGTGTTGGGCTATTGGTTAAAGAGAGAAACAAAAACCACTAATTCAGTTTCTTGTAGAGGATTTAACTTCGTTCTTATTTCCGGTGTCTTTGGTCAAAGCCGAGAACACGATACAATCAATTTGATTGAATCAAATATCATTTGTTTACCGTTGGACCGTCTCTGTAAATGCAGTGTCATGAGCACATGTGCCCATTCTGGTCCTTAGACACGTAAGCGTGAATGATTCTTATCGAAGGTGTGCCTGTTTTAGTAATTTCACATTAGTTTGTCAACTTCAATAAAAAATCTAAAGATAAGACGATAGAGTTGAAGGATCGCCATCACTCTCCAACTTCTCTGTCCACTGTTTAAGCTTCAGTGTCTCTGAATCGGCAAGTGAGGTTTGTTCTCTTCGTACATTTTTTTTCCAGATTTAATCTGTGTTTGCTTTTACATTGAAGCTTTGCATGTCTTTAGTACTGGTTGACATTGGACTCGCTTGCTTCTTCTATTGTGTATTAGATTGTAATAATGGTTCTAAGTATGGCATTCAGGTTATAAGAAAATGGCGACATCATCAACAGGTAAGGCCAAGTACATAATCGGCGCTCTCATCGCCTCTTTCGGACTCTCTTACATCTTCGACAAACTTGTCGCTGATGATAAGATCTTCGGAGGCAAGATTTCGCTTTTTTCTTTCTCTTCTTCAAGCTCCATGATAAGTAAGAAACGATCTTAAAAAACGCCTCTGGTGAAAAAACACAGGGACAACACCAGGAACGGTCTCTAACAAAGAATGGTGGAAGGCAACGGACGAGAAGTTCCAAGCTTGGCCAAGAACAGCTGGTCCTCCCGTCGTTATGAATCCCATTAGCCGACAGAACTTCATCGTCAAGTCGCGTCCGGAATGAGAGAAGAAAGACCAATGCTTGGATTGTCAGAATAGTGATGATGTTTTGGAAACCAAGCCGAACTTGTACTAAATAATACAATACATTACAACACGGTTTGTGGGAAGTGTTCCTCAGTCTATCTTGTGTTAAAACTCTGAATAAACTATCGCAAAACCTTAATGAGAGACTTGGAACTTGGAAGAAAGCATAAGGTCCTAAATATCAACAAAACAAAGCTTGTTTGGATTCTCCTCTCATTTGCCATCATCTTTTCCTTGTCCATCTGCTCCATCTTGTTTGCTTCCTCTAATCCCCACTGTTCACAGAGAAAGAAGAGAATGAGATGAACAAATCTTACACGAACTAACAATTTGCAGATGCCAACCAAGGATCTGAGTTACAATTTCGTAGAGATTACCATTTGCACCAAGATTGGTTTCTGGTTGTTGCATTTGGTGCTGCATCCCGTTGTTATTCATGTTCATTGGTCTGATCCCCATGTGTCCTTGCATAGCTTGTTGATGAATCTGCTGTTGCGGATCCTGAAACTGCTGTAGGCTACCAAACTGCATAGGACCTCTTGGAGGGAAGATCCCGCCGGGTGATGCTTGTTGAGCCACCATTCCTTGAGCTTGCGGGTGCTGCATAAAGTAGCCAGGCGGTTGCATTCCAGGGTGCGGTGTTGTCATCTAACAGAGATTACACAGATTAGTAAGAAAACATGTTCAAGTGTTGTGACTGATCTCAATTGTGTTATATCATCACAAGCAACCTGGGGAGCCATAGGTGGTGCTGGTGCAGCTCCTGGTGTAGGTGTAGGTGGAGGAGGTTGAGCATCAGCAATTGCAGCGAGATACATTAAGTTCTTCTGGAGAAGAGCCTGGTACCTGAAAGCAATTAACATTTCAATTCTCAGGATTCCATTATTGTTCAACTAATAGGAGATGGATATAGTGAAATGCATACAAAGGGTCTACTTACTGAGCACATTCTGCTAGTTTTCCGAGATTTTGATTTTCCATGATTGCCATTATCAGCTTCTTGTTCTCATCAAGGTACTGAAAAAACGGATGAAATATATGAAACAAAATAGAAGGAAATGAAGCATAAACCCACCACCAAGCATCTAACCTCAATGATGTCCAAAATCTGATACTAAGTTCAATTAACAAAATCAAAGTAGGAAAATCACCAAGAACAGGCCCAACTGCCATTAATTATTTCTCACTCAGACATCTTAAAAGATAACGAGGAAAGTTTCAAAAGTAGACACTTTCAGACCAATTGCCAGCAATTAATAGTTACTTCACTCAAATCACAATAACCCAATAATTATCGGCACAATTAGCTTAATACGGCTCTAAAATCCGACAATTTTAATCTGTTATTACAAGACTCCTACGCTCTGAAACAGAGATGAAATGAAGAAAGAAGGAACCTTTTGGATCTGTTCTGTGGTGATGTTAGTTGGCGGAATCGAAGGAACCATCGGAAACATTTGCGGAGACTGCTGCATCTTTCTCTACTATTTCCTCCTCGCCGGAAATACCAAAACCCTAGTTTCTTCTCTCCCCCCTCACAAAAGCCCTCGAAATTTTACGAAACGCAGAACCGATCAAGCCGAGAAATTGATGGAACACATGCGCAAACGAAATGATTGCAAGATTCTACAAATATTTATAGATTATCCTCCAATTTATGACTGGGATTACTCTGGATGTCGACGAGGTCTCCGCTGAGATTTTATGACCAAAAATGTGTCAAATAACGGAAAAGTAAACCTCTAGGCAAATCAGAAGGTTTATTTCTTAACTCAACATATGTGGGCCGTAATATCCAGCCCAATATGAGGTTTTTAAGGTCCATGGGCCATTAAACAAGTTACATTGCAATTTGCAACAGTGAGAAGACATCATTACGCACGCATTCACATCATCCTTTGACCAGTTCGAAGTTTTGGTCTTGTTGTAGAAGCAAACAAGCAGGTAAGTAAGTACCATTGTTTTCGCAAAAATGTTGGAACTTTTATTAAGTACTCAAACCATTAAACCACATAAATATTCTACTTTTAATCGGAGATTATTAACACATATCAAATAATTAACAATAGTTAAAGAAAAAGTCAAACTTTTACATCACCATCCTGATTTGGTTTCGGTCGAGATTCGCCATCGTCATCGTCGCAGAGATCGGAGATCAAAACGGAGAGAGAGAGAAACGCGGGAGTGAGGAGGAAGAGGAGTCCAAGAGGAACCATCCAAAGATTAGAATTTGTGGGATGGTATTTGTAAAACCAATAAGTTAGAAACAATCCTCCACACGTGATCGCGATCATGGAATATAGGAAGAACGCCATTGACGACATAGTACTCTTCTTCTCCTTCTCTGTCACCTTCTTCGCATTGGTGTTCATGCTGCGTTCGTGTTTCATTTGCACGAGCTAGTATCAAGCAAAAATTAAGTAATGTGATTTATGCTTTTTTTTTTGTTTATTTGCTGCAAAATTATAGCTAGGTGAAGTGAGAGAAAAGAGATGCACACGCGTGATAAGTGATAACAGATTTTATATTTTTGAATGTATGAGTTTTACGTTTTTTATATATTAAAAAGGGCAAATCTAAAATGACACGTTTTTTAAAAAATTACGAAAAGACACCAAAATTTAGCATTTGAAGTATAGTTCCAAATTTTATTAAACAATTATTATTTTTTCAACTAAATATTATTCTTTAGACTTTAATTATTTGAGGTGAACCGGCGCTTGTGGCCCGGTGGTAAAGGACCCTCAACTGAGGTACCCGCCACCTGGGTTCGAGTCCCGGCCACAACGGATTAGGGCGCTGAACCCCACTTGTGGGGATAGTCGGGAATGTGGCTACCCGGATACCAGAGTTATCAAAAAAAAAAAAATAAATAAATAATTTGATGTGTTTTGTTTTAGCACTCTAAGTTGTAATTTCTGTTGCGATGCGAAAATAAACGTGAGAGATGTAGGACGAAAATGGTGCCGTGTGGTGCAAGTACATAACACATTTCAAACTTGAAGGCATTATACACTTTATCAAAAAAATTATACTTTAGGGTTTTTTAATAAGTAAGAGACAGGACACGATCTTATCCGACTCTATTATTTATACGTTTGAATATTGTTATAGTACGAATAGAAGTTGAAGTAACAAAATTGCATAGTAAAATCATTTTCCATTGAGCGTGTTAACTTGCTAAGCATAGTGAATTTACAGTGTGATTTTCTCACACCATAATAAAAGCAATGAGCTTATATATCACAGAATCGCAGAGGGAAGAAGGATTATACCTTTTGGTCTGCAAATTTCGGCACTACAGTTTAACCCACAAAAGGGTTAGTGGCTAGCAGAAGCGAACTAAATTTTGATGGATTGTTAGATGGGCCACAAATTGATAAAATGGGCGGTTTGAAGTGCTCCAACTTGGTTACGATTAGAATCATAGATGTACGCCTGTACGGACTCGAGATGTTCGGTCAAGTGGAAAATACTCGAATGAAAACAATAACTAAATCTGGATTGAAGAAGTTCAACTTGATAACCAAGTGCAATTGCTTTCATGTGATGGTGACGTGACTCAAACTATAGCAGGCTCAAACTCAATTATTGAATGAGTGGTTCAACTTAAATCTGCATTATTGTATCCGTATTATTAGTTATGCAAACTCACTAACACTTGCCTGCCACTATTTTTTTTTGTTTTTGGCTGTATTCTAATATCAGAATGTGAGATGAGAAATAAGAGAAATAAATAAAAGAAAGAAGAAAAATTGTTGTCAAAAAAAGAAGAAAAAAATACTAAAAGCCATTATCACATTCTGTGTCGTCTGAGTTTATCTTTATCAGGAAGGATTTTTGTGGGGTTCAATTACCTTTACTCACATGGAAAGCTCAACTATTACTCAAATATATATTAGTACAAAAATTCATCATAAAATTTAAGCCGTTACGCAAGTGATTGAGCTTTACTCGATGATCCTATTTTTGACAAACATAACACAAAGATCATCAATCTACCATCATTTACTTTGGTTAGATATGATTCCAACTTCAAACTAGTAGCTTATATTTTGAGGATCTAAATATAAATAAGCAAAATGATTGGCCCACGCAATTTTGATAAAACAGAGGAATACAAAATTTAATAATGGAATGAAACAAACGTTGAAAGGAAAAAAGAAGAGCAGTTACTTTCCTTAAGACAACAAAACCATATCCACACATCATAAAAATCCAACGTCCGTTACCATATAATCCAAAATACAGAAACTCAGAGTCTATCTATTAACCACACACAGTCGCACACATGAAAAGGAAGTTTTATTACCGACGAATGAATGTACGTACACATAGTCACGTAGACACACGGGACGGACGCGGAACAGAAAATAATGTTTTGCCGTTAAGTGCATGTGGGACCCAAACGAGGCGCGTGAATCCCACTCTCCCTATGATATCTCTCGCTTGTCCGCTCTCTCTCCCTCGCCTTATATTCTCTTCTCTCCAAAGAAAGAGAGACAGAGAGAGATTCTCGTTGATTTCAGATTTGCCGCCGAGAAAGCGTCGACTGTTCCATCGGATTTTTGAAACTCGATCTTCGTTCGTGTAGAAAGAAGAAGAAGAAAATGAGTGGGAGCAGGAAGAAGACGGCGGCGCCGGCGAGTAGGACGCGAGTGGGGAACTACGAGATGGGACGGACTCTAGGGGAAGGAAGCTTTGCCAAGGTGAAATACGCAAGGAACACCGTCACCGGAGATCTTGCCGCCATCAAAATCCTCGACCGGGATAAGGTTTTCCGACACAAAATGGTTGAACAGGTTCGTAATATGGATCTTTTCATTTGTTCAATTTTTTAGTACTAGTATTAGAATAGTCTGGTATCGTGATTAGGGACCCACTTATCCGAGGTAGGTGTGATTAAGGTTAATGATTAATCAAACTTTACAGAACACCCAGATAACACACGGATTCGAATTTTCTGTATGAATATATGAATCTTCTGTACGTGCGGATTTGAAAAACTTTGACGCACTGAGATATGGTTTTGAAGTAGAGTAGCTTTATTCTGGAATATATTCGAATCTGTAAAATACTTAGTTTTGTATACATTCAGATTAGAAGATATAATGAGTGTGCGTTTTTTTTTTTTTTTTGGATTTGCTCTGTGCAGCTTAAAAGAGAAATATCGACGATGAAACTGATTAAACATCCAAATGTGGTTGAAATCATGGAGGTAAGAAGCTGTGGTTAATTTTCGGAAATCTTATCAAACCTTGAGTATGTACTAAGTTTTTGAATCTTAGCGTGTAAACCATCTGTATGTGCTGCTGGTGTGTGCAGGTCATGGCGAGCAAGACAAAGATCTATATCGTTCTTGAGCTTGTCAATGGAGGTGAACTCTTTGATAAAATCGTAAGAAACCAATCCCTACTATTTAGTGTTTTACTCTTACTTATAGCTCAAGTCATGAATCCTTGATCCTCATTCTTGGATTTGTATAGGCCCAACAAGGGAGGCTGAAGGAGGACGAAGCTCGGAGATATTTTCAGCAGCTCATCAATGCCGTTGATTACTGCCACAGTCGAGGGGTCTACCACAGAGATCTCAAGGTCTTGCTTTCTTTTTCTGTTATGCTCTTCCTTTTTTTCCTGATAATATTCATCATGTTCAAGTTTTCTCAACCTATATGTTGCTTATATTACAGCCTGAAAATCTCATCCTTGACGCAAATGGTGTTCTAAAAGTGTCTGATTTTGGACTAAGCGCTTTCTCGCGGCAAGTTCGGGTAAGCAACAAAGGATATGATGGCAAATTGGCAATTAGTTTGCGAAATGAACAGAGCATATCAGTTTGTTTGTTTCCACACATAATGATTTGATTGTTGTAACTTGTAAGCACTAAGCACAATTCTTTCTGAATGCAGGAAGATGGTTTGCTTCACACAGCTTGTGGAACGCCGAACTATGTTGCTCCTGAGGTATAAACCAAGTTATTCGACAGAAATGAAGAAAATGTAGCAAATATATGACTCTAATTTCTGCTGCATTCATTTTTGGGGCAGGTTCTGTCGGACAAAGGCTATGACGGTGCAGCAGCAGATGTGTGGTCCTGTGGTGTGATTATCTTTGTGCTCATGGCTGGTTACTTGCCTTTTGATGAGCCAAATCTCATGACATTATACAAACGTGTACGTCTACCTACAAGATAATCATCTTCCTCTGTTTTCTACTATTTACTAGTAATTACTTTTCTAATCTCAACTTTTCTATTCAGATATGCAAGGCTGAGTTCAGCTGCCCACCATGGTTCTCGACAGGTGCCAAGAGAGTCGTTAAGCGTATTCTTGATCCCAGCCCTATTACCGTAAGCGCCTACATAAAACCCTTTTTATTCTTACATGAATGTGCATGCAAGAGCTTAACGATCACGGTTTTTCCTGAATTCCAGAGGATGAGTATTGCAGAGTTACTAGAAGATGAATGGTTCAAGCAAGGCTACAAGCCTCCATCGTTTGAGCAAGATGATGAGGATATAACCATTGATGATGTTGATGCTGCTTTCAGCAACTCCAAGGTAATAAACCGCCATTTCCTAGATATCGTAGTACTTCGGTTTAGTTAAACCAATGTAGGATTTACCAACTAATCTCTATTTCCTGCTGCTATAGGAATGTCTTGTGACAGAGAAGAAGGAGAAACCGGTGTCGATGAACGCTTTTGAACTCATCTCTAGCTCAAACCAGTTCAGTCTTGAAAACTTGTTCGAGAAGCAAGCCGTAAGAACCTTTTTCTCTACTTGAAAACTCTGTTTCGAATGTCAAAATTTATATTCTTATTTAGCTCTATTTTTCCTCTGTTTGGTTGTGGGAATTGCAGCAACTTGTGAAGAAAGAGACGAGGTTTACTTCTCAACGATCCGCGAGTGAAATAATGTCGAAAATGGAAGAAACCGCAAAGCCCTTAGGCTTCAATGTCCGTAAAGACAACTACAAGGTTTGTTCCTACTTTCTTGATTTTATCTATGTTAGTCAATCAATTAATGTCTTTGTGGTTTCGTTAAACCTTGTATCTTTTTATAATAAAATCGCAGATAAAAATGAAAGGAGACAAAAGTGGTCGTAAAGGTCAGCTCTCCGTAGCTACAGAGGTAAAATAATAAACACTCCGGTTAAGTTCGGTTTTCGTGATAATTCCTTCTAGTATATGTAATAATTTTGGTTTAACAGGTGTTTGAAGTGGCACCATCATTGCATGTAGTGGAGCTTAGGAAAACCGGCGGTGATACCCTCGAGTTTCACAAGGTATGTTTTGGGTTTAGTCTTCATGAACCGGTTGACGCATTTAATCCATAGTTGTCTTAATCGATTGGGTTTGTGTAAAATCTTTTTTTGCAGTTCTACAAAACC